GTCTCTATGGCCAGGCTGGGATCCAGTTTTATCAGTAAGGATATTCTCAATAGTACAAGTACAGCAGTATTACTACACGTGTAGACAAAATAATGTCTGTAGAAAATGGAAAAGGTGAATTACTTTAAGGACTTTATGAGAACTGAAGCAAAAGAATCACCAGATTCAAAGTTTAATTCCTTAGTTTTCCACTACCAGGTCTATAATTTTATATGGCATCACCAGCTACCAAGCAAGCCCAAATGAAGCACTCCTGATTACTGGCTTTGCCTACATAATTACACACCCCATGACTGCAACTTAGTGTTCTCAAGGTCATGTGCTGCTGTCTTCAGTGCAACCATAAGAGAGGTGCAAGTAAGGCGAGGAAGGATTTTGACATCAGGTAGAGATGTAATACTGGTTTACTCTTCTGCGCAGCACAGCCAGGCAAACATTTACAAGAGTGAACATGTATGACCCCACTGGCAGACTCACATCTGCTGTCAGGCGATGACAGGCTGGGGAAAGCATATATTCCCTATAGTCAGTGTGATCTTACAGATACCATATTCTCAAAAAAAAACCATAATTAAATGTAGAGTTAAAGCTACATTGGGTCATTCTGTTTATTCTGCAATGACTCCAGCAACTATTTTCAGTTATTTTTCCTTCATCATAAGCAGTTGACCAGCTTTAACTCGTCCTAACCTGTGCCCTATATTTCAAAAGCCTTGCACATCCTAACAGACATTGCAGTGATGCCATAGCAGACATGTGATATCTCAGAGCATGGCATGGCATGCCCCCTAAAAGCTAACTGCAGCCACAGCACGCAGAGAGGTTGTCTAATGCCGAGATGTCAGCGAATAACAGCAATCATGCTTGTTTTGGGGGACTGCTGCTGGAAACAACTGTAACCTGGTGTTCAGGCCTGCTCTTCTCTGCACACAGGCGGAGGGTTACACACTGTGCAGCTCCCCTTCCGCTCACCTTCAGCAGGTCCAGAGGATGCGTGCAGCAGGCAGCACCGCATGACGCCAGCCCACCGAAATACCACCGCGACATCCGTTTCTCGGTCATGGTCCCGTGATGTGCCGTTGTCCGATGCAGCTACCGCGGTGACTTCCGTCCTGTCGGTCCGCCTTCGACACGCTGCCCGCCCGCTCTGCTCTGTCGGCTTCCTCGCCTGCAGCTGGCAGTAGCTTGTGGTCTACAGGACACGGATAACCTCGTTAATCTTCAAACATTCCGATAAGAGACTGCGCTACAGACCGAGGGGACTTTGGGCTCCAGCAGCATCGCGCACACTCGTGCCACATAACGTGCGCGTGGGGCTGTGTAGGGCCACAACATGCAGGAGGAGGAAGCAGCTACGGAGAGGAGAGCAGCCAATTGGCACCGTGAACGGCGGAGCTGCCTACTCGCCCCGGGGTCCGAGATCCAAAGGTCGACTGCGGGGTATGAGAATGCTAAAACCCCGAACTGCACCGACTCACACACACACAGCCCACTTTCACCCCTTACAGACTGTCATGCGGGCTTTAAAGTGATACGCATCCTTTCTGCAGCTGTATGTAGTGGAAATACACTCTGTCTCTTTAAGAGGACTCGTGGAGTAACGTTAGCTGTCATCCTCAAGCAGAGACTCCAGTCCAAAAACCGCTGTGCTGGTGAGATTATTTGTAACATGTGTCTACATGTGATGGAGCTCAGTTCAGTGCCATCCACGAGCCCAAAAGCAATTTTTTTTAAAGTAAGTGTAGAAATGGTTGAGGATAATCAAGTCTGTAAGGCAGTCAACAAACATGGGACACCAAGGTTTTTGTGTCTGATCAAACAACTGTGTCACTTGGAAATGATGATCAAAGAGGAGATAAAACACATGAGACAAAATAAAAGAGGTGTAAAACAGACCAAGCTCCTAACTATGTGGGATCAGTAGGACCCGATAATTATTAAAAAAAAACGAAATCTTGTTAACAATAATTAAGTCCCAATGTCCTCTAGCGGGACAACAGTAAAATAAACCACTTTCAACACTAAAATGTGATCAGGTTTTGGACCTTGTCCACATTTGTGTCAGGATCGGCTGCAGACTGACTTGGCAGAGATGGCTGCCATCTTGTTTTTACATGGATTAGTGTATTGTGCTTTTACAACCACCAGATAGCACAGAAAAGTGTCCACAAACGAGGACAATAGGTCGAAATTAAGTAGAATAAAGTATAAGGTCAAGTAAATCCAGAAAAGTATATTTCATTTTTGAGTATTTTGTCTTGTTTAAGAATAAAACAGATTTATTACACCGGTTGTTTTTATGATTGTGTCTAAGGCAGATGTCATTCCGACAGAAGCCCTGAGAAGCGAGGTGAAACAGAGTTTATCTCCTACCTACGGGATTTTATCTCCTACATGGGAGGCTGTTTTGAGATTGAGGGAGCAGTGCAGAATGAGGCACTTAGTGCACAACACAAAAGGCGTTGAAAGTTCGGGCCAATGCAGCATAAACAAAAGGTTTTGACTTCTCAGTGAACGAACGTCCAGTGTAAAACATAATGAAACTGAGCAGTAGCGCCGACAGGATTCTATTTCAATGTCTAAACTCTCATGCACACACACACAGGGGTGTAAATACAGACAGTGCAGGCCGTGTGATTGCACTGGGGCCCCTGGGCTGGAGGGGTCGTAGAGAGAGTGGGCCCCTGCAAGTGATTCAGATTGCCACGCCGGAAATATACTTATGTTTAAAGTGAAATGATAAAAAAAAAAAAATAATTCTAGAAGCCTGCCATTTGCAACACATTGTCCTCAAAAAGGCAAACCCATCTGCGTCATGGTTTTTATTTTTATTTTTTAAATAATCAGTAGCTATACAACCCAAAATCATATGCTTTTTCTACATCGACTATAAAATCTATAATATACTGTAACAACTATTCAATTAAAATGAGTAATTTCTTACTTACTTTGATATCTTTGTCAGATATGCATTGATGATTGCTGGGTAATATGTATGTTGATGTTGCAAGTCTCCCTTAGTGTCAAGACAATATATGCACGATAGCGTGCACCAGGGCCCGTCATGATAGTGTGCACTGGGGGCGGTCGTAGCTTCCTTATGCCACTGCACACACATATGCAGTCTACTCAGCAACAGAGGGAACGAACAGCAGAGGAAGAGATTGACTGAGTGCATTTATGGTAATGTTAGTTATAGATATAACATCACCATAAAACATTAGCCTGCCATACACATTTACCGCAAGCCAGCAGGCCAGGTTTACAGAGCAATTACCGCAGCCCAAGGTCATATTTGCAGAAGAGTTATGCAGAAAGCCAAATACACCACAAATACACCCAGGAGCAAGATAAACTGATCGACCAGTAACAGACACACAAACACACACATACAAACACATACTCATTAGATTGTGTAGATTGCAACAAGCTACAAAGCTGATTTATAGTGATCTGTCTCTCTAAGGGACTGGACCAGATAATAAGGAGGCTGCAACTCTACTGAGGAAAGGTAAGAAATAATTTGGCTGTTTTTTTTTCAGCTGGTGTGGCATGTCAGAGACAGATGTTTAGGCTATTTGTACAGAGCCTTGCCACAGGGCCATGTGACAGTTCATGCTAGAGAGTGCATCAGTTACTGAGTGTTTACTGCCCCCAAGTGTACTATCTCTGCTGCCACCACTCATAGTGGTTAGAATTAACGGTTTGGGATCCAACACTGATATGAAGTGAAGTAAGTGCACAGTCATGGCTGATATCCAGTAGCCTTGCTCCCACAACTGACCTGTGTATAATTACGCTCATTTATTGTTCCTGACTCATTCCTCTGTGACCATGAAGTGTCCTGAAAAAGGACTGGAATAAAGTGAAAGACGTAACACGGGACACAGTGTTTATTCTGCACATAAATTCATGACCCGTCCCAGCACATGGGTCATACTTCTAATAATGAAGAACAGTTGTCGGGGAATGAAAACACATGTGTTTATTGTGCATATTGTGGTTAAAAGTCAGACAATAGAAAAGATTATAGGTGGAAAATGTGATGCCATGTGTCACACTAATGTATACAACAGGGATGCTCAACCTGCATAGTCCAAGGGCCACTTTTTTCATAAACAAGCTCTATTTTGATGCTTTTTTATGCACTCTGGCACCTTAAGCTGCTCTAACAGTCTTGTGGTAACTCTCAGCCTTGTCATTTCAATGAGAGGAAGGTAGCAGAGGGGAAGTGATTTCGAACATAGGGGTTTCGAGGTTTGAAGCAGTTGCCACCAACATGATTGTGCATAGATTTTGCTGTGCCACGCAGAGTTCACCGTGTTAAAGTTCTGGCAGTATACACTTAGTTCTGGACAATCAAATAGAAGGAGGCCAGTGTTATAGAAGCAGGAAGATGACAAGATGGAGGGGCTGATAATGGTGTCTGAATATGCAGCGTTGTACAACACAGCACTAGCAACTTATAAGAACAGCCAGAAGAAAAACTGGGCTTGCAATAACACTTCCATCGAACTTCAGATGGCTGGCAAATTGTCCATATATGTAGAAATCATGGCGCCATGCTACTTCTGTCGGTGCCATTCACTGAAGCACCACCTCGTCAGCACAGCCCTGGACTGTAGTGCAGCAGCTGCTTTTAAGAACACTTCATATTTTGGGGGGGAAACGCTCTTGTAGGGTAGGCGGTTGCCAGGATGGTTGCTGTACAGCGGTGTAAAGGCAGCTTATTGTATATTAAAAGTACACAAAAAAAATCCCAGTGCGAATCATTTAACCTCCCCAGTGACACCCTGCACCCTATGAGGGGCCATAAGTTGAGTATCACTGCTGTATGGTGTTATTAAGTCAAGTGTGGCAAAAGCTAGATAAAACATAAGACTTGCTACATGTCAAGGTAATGTAAGACACACAGTTAATATACAGTGATGTTGAAAATGTGTAAACTACACACATAAAGAACATATAGGTCAAAAATTAAAGCAGTTTTATTTAGATCAGCAACAAATGGTTGTCGTTAAATTAAATAACAAAACTACTCATGCTAGAAATGATAATATTACATAAACATTAGTCATAATTCATCCAGTGTAGGCAAAAGAAACAAGCTCTAAAACTTGGACAGTGGTGTTTGAGCTGATATCAATAAAAGGGTACAGTAGAAATACATATTGCAGAGTAAAAATAAATATAAACAAGAGGAAGAAGAATAAATAAATCCAAATGGAAAAATAAAATGTAGAGTAAATTTGCTAAAAACCCCAAATACTCAGAAACATTTGTAAAAAGTAAATAAACAAGCGTCGCTCCGACTGCCCACGCGTTTTCAGTGAACATACCAGCACACAAAGATATACTATGCACACTGGTCTTCTGTACACAGACCACCCACACACACAAACAAAAGCAGAGGCAGAGTGGAATTTAAGAAATGTAAGTCACACACATTACTAAACCTCTAAACATTTAAATCCTCCCACAATTCATGTCAACTCCCACTCTGACCGAAATCTGATAATGATATAAATTATATTAGAAACCCTTTGCTATGTAGTTTATCATGTAAATGTATTAATAAATCTAAAAAAAAAATTATTGAAGTGTAATTAAATCCATATTATTACTTGAAGAAGCATATACAAAGATACAAAGTCTGAAAGATATAAAACACAATATCTGCTGAATATCCTCTAATCGATGGTGACTTTGTAGTTTCCAGAAGGTTGTCTGATGAGATTGTGACCTCTGTACTTGTTTGTACCTCACATGTCCAATGAAATCATCTCATACAAAAGATTTTTCCTGTTGCTTCACCTCTCCTGCTGCCCCTGTATGTGGGTTGTCTTTGGCTGCTCCTCCCAAAATAGGCAGCGTTCTTCCACCTGGTGGAGAGGAGCCTGCGTGCAGGAGGGAGCCACCCACCAGGAGCAGCAAGCTGGCCCCCCAGCCCAGGTACAGCGCTGGCCCCAGCTCTCTCTTTAAAGGCGCCGCAACGTTCGGATCATAGAAGTCCCTGATGATTGCATGGGCAGTCCAACAGATGGGTATCATGTAGGCCAAGCCAGCCACGAGGAAGAGCACCCCTGCTATCCTCGCCAGCCGAGCTTTGGAGGCCTGGTTATCGTCATCCATGCAGTGAGTGCACTTGGCCCCGGCCACCCCAAGCATGAGGGCCAGAAGGCAGAGGAGCAGGGAGAGAACAGTGAGGCCTCGGGCGGCTTGGGCAGACATGGGCAGGGCCAGGGTGGAGTCATAGGTCTTGCACTGGATCTGGCCTGTGGTCTGAGACAGACAGTTCATCCACAGTCCCTCCCACAGCACCTGAGCAATCACCAGCTCTCCACCCACGAAGGCCGACACACGCCACAGAGGAGCTGCGCACACCAGCGCCCCGCACACCCAACCCAGCACAGCCAAGACCAAGCCCAGCAGCTGAAGACCAGTTGATGCCATTGTTGCTGAGGAAACTTTAAGGTCAACAAAAATGTCTCTCAGATAAACCTCAGTTTTTTTCCTTGTCTTTCTCCTGAGGAGGGTAGTGAGCACTCAGTAGACAAAAGCCAGTGCTGCCCAGAGTATATTCTCAGACATTCAGTCCAGTGATTGAGTTGCTGAGAGGAGTCCCCTCTTCTCCTCGGTATCCTTTCTTGTTTAATGCTGTTAAGATGAGAGTGTAACTTTATAGAGGCACATTTAAATGAACTTAATATTAGTAAAACATATACAGAAATTGTGCAGTATAATAGTAAAGTAAGCAAGAATGAGAGCATTAAACTCGCTCCATCTGGACATGTTTTCTTTGGTTCAAGCTATCCATTCACTTTCACAGTCCCAGCAAAATAAAACTCACCTTTCAGTTAGTAATCAAAGAACCAGATGTCCACAGACGGCGTGTTGATGATCCTTAGTGAGTTTCTTGGCAGTATAGTCGTGTGATGTGAGTAGTTGGTGTCTTTCTTCTGTTATGACTGGCCGGCTTGTCTCTGAAACTCATACACAGGGGTGTGGGAGGGCAGCAGTGTGTAATACTGCATACTAAATACACACACACACATAGCTAGTTATGCAAAAAATGACAGCACAAGGACACTTTGTTATAGACCTTGTTGATTGCTACCATTTTGTCATTTCTTGAAGTTGGAGCGGCCATAATGAGGCAACGGATGGAGCCGAGGAGGAGAGAGCTGACTGGAGACCTGACAAACACAGCATGAAACAACCTATGTCATACTGGAGTGCAAATCTACCAAAACTAGTGGAAATTCTCTCTTAGGCTGTAACTTTTTTTGGTGAAAAAGATAAAAAAAGAATTACCACCCTGCAATTTTATGCCTCTGCGCTCCTCTCAAGTTGCAGTTACAGTTTACATCCATTTCTGTGAAAACATGGAGGCTTCACACACATCTTCCCCCAGGCAACACACAATCACCCAAGATGAGTGTTACCACTTAAACATCTGACCAAATGTCCCCCCTTCTGTTCCTGAGATATAATGTTGAATAATGGCCAGAAAAGTGTTTTATGCAGAACATTATGATGTCACAGCAAACCTGACCTTTGATCTTTTTGATATTAACTGTCATCACGTCATCATTTTATCTTATCAGACATCTGTGTGAAGTTATGTCATAATTAGCACATGAATTCTTGAGTTATGGCCAATAACATATTTTGCAAGGTCACACTGACCTTGACCTTTGACCTTCAACCACAAAATTGTAATCAGGTTATTCTTCAGTCCAAGTGGATCTTTGAGTCAAATTTAAAGAAATGTTCTTAAGGTGTTCTTAGGACATAGCATTCATGACAATGAGACAGACGCAAGGTCGCATTGACCTTGACCTTTGACCACTGAAATCCATTCAGTTCATTGTTGAGTACAAGTGAACATTTAAGCCAAATTTGAAGGAATTCCCTCAAGCTGTTGAGATTTTGCATTCAGAAGAATGAGATGGGTGCAAGGCCACAGTGACCTTGACCTTTGACCACCAAAATCTAATAAATTAATCCTTGAGTCTAAGTTAACGTTTGTGCCTACTTTGAAAAAAATCCCTTGAGGCTTTCTTGAGATATCGTGTTCACAAGGATGGGATGGACGGACGGCTATACAGACTTACAGATGGAGGGACGGGCGAACAACTTGAAAATATAATGGCACTGGCACAGCTATCGCCGGCACAGAGGCATGAAAATATATTGAATTTAGTGACTATTTTTGGACATTTTGATGGCATGCTGAGTGAAGTTGCTCTGCATAGCCACTAGATGGCATTAGACAGCCACCATTCTCCTACTGGGCTTCAACATCCTCTCTTGGTTGAGCAAGCGTGCTCATTATTTGTTGCAGAAAGAGGCCTGGCAGGAGAGTTTGGAATCAAAGTGCATCTGGCTTTGATTGCTGCAATGCAGGCTGAAAGGCCAAACCTGTTGACATTTTTTGCATTCCATGTTTGTTTCCCGTGCCCTCCAAGAGTCCAGAAAATCATTTGATGCAGGTTTAATTGTATGGTAATATAATGCCTGTGTCTCATTTATACAATTTCTCAGTGTGCAGCATGAAAGTGGCCACAACTGCATTTCATTGTGCACCCCTGAACATTAAACTTAATTATCAGTGCTCGAGTCATGTTCAATAGAAAAGTTCAGATCTCTGGTTTCTGTCCGCAACAAGGCAATGCAAATGAGTTATGATGCCAAGTCTCCTTTAAGAGCGTGCCGAATGTCACCGCCTTTAGCATGTGGGAAGTTCACATGCAGGCCTTCTGCAAGTTGTAGTTTCACTTTACAGGAAACCGCTGAGGTATATAGAGAGAGGGAGGAGGGGAGGGAGGAATAACTAGCACACAGAAGGACAGAGGTACTGTAATCTGGAAGAAAGGGTTGAGAAACACACACAGAATTTGTGATTCAAAGACAGGACTGACAAGTGTTTCCTGGTATTTCTTTCTCTGCAACAACATGGGTTTAAGTTCAACTGAAGGTGAGTGTCTTTACTTGTGTGTGCATATATGCTTTACACTCCTGATGTGAGCTGGCCAAAAACTCAAGAATTCAAACGAACCATCTATCTTTTTGTCCACAGACTCACACAGCTCTCCAGATGTCAACGACCTGAGGATTGTCCTGCTGGGGAAGACTGGATCAGGAAAGAGCGCAACAGGAAACACCATCCTGGGACGACAAGCTTTTACCTCAGAGATTTCTCCGTCTTCTGTGACAGTGACGTGTAAAAAAGAAACTGGCCACTTTGATAACAGAACTGTCAGTGTGGTCGACACCCCAGGTGTGTTTGACACATCGATAAAGGAAGACCAGCTGAAAGGTGAAATAGAGACATGTATCGTGCTGTCTGACCCAGGACCCCATATATTCCTGCTGGTGATCAGACTGGATGTACGGTTCACAGAAGAGGAGAAAAATGCAATAAAGTGGATCAAGAACAACTTTGGTGAGGAAGCCTCCAATTATACGCTGGTGCTTTTCACTAGGGGAGATGAGCTCAAGGGGAAATCCATCCAGGATTATATAGACCAAAGTTCTGAACTCAGGGAGTTCATCGATGACTGTACAGCTGGGTACCATGTATTTGACAACACATCTATGGAAAATCGCACTCAGGTGGCTGATCTGTTTGAACTGATAGACGAGATAGTGCAGTTAAATGGTAACTATTACACCAGAAGCATGTATGAAGAGGCCCAGAGAAAGAAGAATTCAAAGGAATGGTGGAAAAGGGTGGGAGGCTATATGAACACTGTGGGTAATCAGTTGTTTGTGGCAGCAGCAGCCACAGCTGTCCCTGCAGCTGGTGCAGCTGTAATGGCAGAGGAAGCAGCCCCTGTAGCTGGTGCTTTGTTTACAGCAGCTACATCCATGAGAGTGATTTCAGTGGCCGCAAGTGGAGGAATTTCAAAGGTCATGGGGTGGTGGGTGAAACCTAAAACAGACAGCTGAGTCATGTCAAGCCATGATACTTTGTGTAAAGTCATTCAATTGATTTCCTTTTCACACATTACATTCATATTTGCCCTTTTGTAAATATTTAATGTTGCATTTATTCACTCCATTTATGTACATTCATACATATTAATCGCAGCTTGTCTGCTTTGAACCATAAATTAACCTTTTATGACAAATGTTTAAATGTTGATGCTGCACACTCTTATCCTGAACATCATATTGTGTGTTGGATTTGTAAGAATAAAATAAAGAAATATGACAACAACAACTTCAAAAAGTGTCTTAGGCCATTGTACAGAAATCTATAGTACATGAATGAAAGGGCGGGGGGGGGGGGGGGGGGGGGGGGGGGGGCGCGAGCAAGGGGGTATATCCTGCATGGGTTGCTAGACTGTCACAGGGCTGACTCATAGAGATGAACAACCATTCATTTTCGCATTCAAACCTAAGGGTAATGGGGAGAACATGCAAACTGCACAGAAGGGCTCCCCCATACCCAGGGTCAAACCAGGAACCCTCTTGCTGTGAGATGACAATGCTAACCTCTGTGGGCTGGGCAAATGCCCATGTTCTAAACACTGAGGGGGAAATGTGCTTCACCTCCCTCCTGAAATCTATGCCTTTGAACGCAGATATTATAGTGTCATATAACAACACTCACACAGCATAGCAAGTATGATTATAATACCAGGTTTGTTTTACACAAAAGGTCATACGGTTTCCTGAACATCATGGTGCTCTCTGCACAATGGAAAATATTAAAGCTGCCAAAATGCCTTTATGATGATTTGTAGTTTGGTTCAAGCGAAAAGAACATACTGATCGCAGTTGATCCTGGTAACCACCACACCTACATTCAATGTACTTGGTATGTGAAGACATTTAACGAGAGAGGTGCAACAAAGAGAGAGCGGAAGCACAACGTTATTGAAAGATGTCAAAGTGAGCAGGAAAACTGGTTCTGCAGGAGGGCAGGCATCGCTTCAGAAAGTCACTTCCTGTCAACCACTGTCTAACGTTCATAGTGTCAGTATAATCAGAAGACTTCACACTTTACTCTTTTCGTACAGACTATTTCTTCAGTAGTAAGACAATTCAATGGAAACTTCTGACAGCACATTAGACACAAAAACAGGGACGCTGTTTATAAAAAAGGACACCAAAATGCTCTGCAATTGTTTAATTGTCTATTTCTACTCAATACAGGGAGTAGTATGTATAAACATATAGACATTGCATCTGTGAATCTGCATTGTGTTGTTCTGTTATAATTACGTATTGTTTTCGTGGCACATTTCCCTATCAAGGCAGGAATACTGAACGGGTATACTGAGCACAGGGGCTCAAAGTTGAACTTGAAATGTCACTCAAATTAACGTGCTGATCGGGAAGAGATTAAAAATCAACACAAAGAAATTCAAAGGAACTGCAGACACACAAAATAACTACAAAAAATACCTCAAAAAGACTCAAAACCACAAAAAAGATGCATTCTGGCTACAAAGAGATGCAAATCAAGGACACTAAAAGAGGCTAAACAAATATAAGTGTGCATACTTGATGGATGAAGAATAGCTTGCGTTGTGTTTCTTATGTCTTTATTCTACCTTCCTCTGTTTTTTTTTTTTACTTATTTTTCATATTTTAACAACTTCCCAACTTTAATTTATACAACTTTATACAACTTCCCATACAACATGGAGCGGCAACAGCTGCATTTCATTGTGCAGTTCTGTGTTGTGTAATGCAAATACAGATAAACCTTGAACCTTGATCATTGATTAAAGTGGCATATCCATAGAGAAGTTATTCAACTAGATCTCTATTTTCTGTCTACAAAGAGATGATGTCAACACTCCTTTAAGAATTTGTACCAAGCTGAAGTTTGGGGGTTGCCTGCTTTAGCATGCAAGAAATGTCCATCTGAATTATTTTAATAATGGTTTGAGCCTCATGTCAACAGCTTTCTGAAAGATGTAGTTTCACTTTCCAGGAAACCATTGGGAGAGAGAGAGAGAGAGAGAGAGGGAGAGTTTCACTTCACTGGAAACACTAAGTTGGAGACAGAGAGAGAGAGAGGGAGGAATGTTTCAAAATGTCTACAAAATGGCAATGCAAATGAGTTATGATGCCAAGTCTCCTTTTAGAGTGTGTGCCAAAGCTGAGATAAGGGTGTCACCTCCTTTGGCATGAGCAAAGTTTACATGTAGGCCTTCTGCAAGTTGTAGTTTCACTTTCCAGGAAACCACTGAGGTTGAGAAAGAGAGAGAGACAGAGGGAGGGAAGGGGGGTGGGGGTAGTAACTAGCACACAGATGGACGGATATACTGTGATCTGGAAGATAGGGTTGAGAAACACAGACAGATTTTGTGGTTCAAAGACAGGACTGACAAGTGTTTCCTGATATTTCTTTTTCTGCAACAACATGGGTTTAAGTTCAACTGAAGGTGAGTGTCTTTACTTGTGTGTGCATATATGCTTTACACTCCTGATGTGAGCTGGCCAAAAACTCAAGAATTCAAACGAACCATCTATCTTTTTGTCCACAGACTCACACAGCTCTCCAGTTGTCAACGACCTGAGGATTGTCCTGCTGGGGAAGACTGGATCAGGAAAGAGCGCAACAGGGAACACCATCCTGGGACGACAAGCTTTTACCTCAGAGATTTCTCCGTCTTCTGTGACAGAGACATGTGAGAAAGAAACTGGCCACTTTGATAACAGAACTGTCAGTGTGGTCGACACCCCAGGTGTGTTTGACACATCGATAAAGGAAGACCAGCTGAAAGGTGAAATAGAGACATGTATCGTGCTGTCTGACCCAGGACCCCATATATTCCTGCTGGTGATCAGACTGGATGTACGGTTCACAGAAGAGGAGAAGAATGCAATAAAGTGGATCAAGAACAACTTTGGTGAGGAAGCCTCCAATTATACGCTGGTGCTTTTCACTAGGGGAGATGAGCTCAAGGGGAAATCCATCCAGGATTATATAGACCAAAGTTCTGAACTCAGGGAGTTCATCGATGACTGTACAGCTGGGTACCATGTATTTGACAACACATCTATGGAAAATCGCACTCAGGTGGCTGATCTGTTTGAACTGATAGATGAGATAGTGCAGTTAAATGGTAACTATTACACCAGAAGCATGTATGAAGAGGCCCAGAGAAAGAAGAATTCAAAGGAATGGTGGAGCAGGTTTGGAGGCTATATGAACACTGTGGGTAATCAGTTGTTTGTGGCAGCAGTAGTCACAGCTGTAGTTAATGCCCCTGTAGCTGGTGCTGCTGCTGCTGCAGCTACATCCATAAGACCAGTTTTAATGGTCGCAGGTGCAGGAATTTCTAAAGCCATCAGTCGATGGATGAAACCGACAACAGACAGCTGAGTCATGTCAATCCACGATCCTTTAGGCAAGCTTGTGATGAGGAAGTACTATCAATCCCCAAGGGAATTTTTTTTCTTCACACATGGGCCTGTGTATACACATAGAACCTATACATGCATTAAATGGAGAGATGTCAAAGCAAGGGGGCTGTCCATATATGGACAGGTGGTTTGGTGCCTTGCTCAGAAGCACCTTGCAGTTTCCAGCTACCATTCCACACTCTATATTTGGTGTGGACGGGGGCTTGAGCTGGCAACCCTCCGGTTCCCAACCCATTTCTCTATGGATTGAGTTAGTTCCAGCCCCGAATAATAATGTAACAAGCTTTCATACATGAGTGCAAATTCAGAACTGAATGTTTTTTGTGTAAAGTTTATTGTATTTCTTTATGTCATTCATGTACATTCATATATATTAATCACAGCTTGCCAAAATTAACCTTTTGTGAGAAATCTTTAAAATGTTGATGCTGCACACTCTGGTCCTGAATATTGTTTTGTGTGGAGAACAAAACAATTGTGTAATTGTTCTGTTTGATTTTTAAGAATAAAATGAAACAATGTGACAGCAACTTCAAAAAGAGTGTTGTGTTGTTGTACCAAAATCTATATTACATGAAATTCCAAGTTAGAGCTTGTATGTTCACCCTGTGTCAGTGTGGGTTTTCTCCAGGTACTCCAGCTTCCTCCCACAGTCCAAAGATATGCAGGTTAATTAGTGACTCTAAATTGTCCGTAGGTGTGAATGTGAGAATGAATGGTAGTCTGGCGACTTGGCCAATGTCAGCTGGGATAGGCTCCAGCCCAGCTTTTTGTCTGAACTCACAAAGGACTTTACTTTTTTTGAGCAATTGTAATAGTTGATATATCTAACCTTTGCATTTTGTTCACATACTAATTTGTACAATGACGGGGCGTCGGAGGCTTAGTGGATAGAGCGCCCCGTGTGCAAAGGTTTCATCCTTGCTGCAGTTGCCCAGGTTCGCTCCAGCCTGCTGCGTGGCACTCCCTCTCTCTCTCCCCCCTTCACACTCAACTGTCCTATCAATTAAAGGCAAAACAAAAAATAATCTAACAAAAAAAGTAGAATGACAACAAAGCTCAGCATTAATCCTTGAGATGCATTTGTTGCTGGAGCCTATCCCATCTGACATTGGGCAAGAGGCAAGGTACACCCTGGACAGGTCGCCAGACTATCACAAGGCTGACACATAGAGACAGACAACCATTCACGTTTATATTCACACCTATGGAGAGTCACCAGTTAACCTGCATATCTGTGGACTGTGGGAGGAAGCAGGAGTACCTGGAGTAAACCCACGCTGACACGGGGAGAACATGCAAACCAGGAACCCTCTTGCTGTAAGGCAACAGTGCTAACCAATATAAAACATAAATATCAAGCCATCAAATGGGAAATATGGCCTGTCACATAATTTAAATGTTACATTTTTTAATATGAAGAGGAAATTCCAGTGTTGAATATTTTACTCCTCTGATAGTGAGTCATTAAAAACATCACGCAAAGCTTTCTTCTACTGGACAAAGAAATAGATATAGAAGATAAAAATCAGAATTACTTTTCCATATATAATGAAAATACACTGCATTAAGAAGCTAGCAAAAATGGAAAGTTTGAAATTATGTGGAAACTGTAAATCTTCAGAAGAATTAATTTTTATTAATTTATTTGTTCTTTCCATTTGTGTATAAAGCCTTAATGTGACAGACCTGCAAAATGTCTGAAACAGAGATAGCTACACCCACATGTCACTTTACAACCATTTCATACTCCCAAAAGTATCAGTGTATCAGTGTTTGGACTACTTTACTGCAGCTAATGGAACTCTGTGATCGCTTTTTCATTGTACAAACAGTTTGTGAGGAAACAGGATTCAGCTTCATCGCTACATTTAAAAGCAACAGTGCCCTTGCTCCAGTCAACATGTGGCTGACACAGACTGGCCCACAGTTCACAATTTTCAGGCCTTTCTTGGTCATTTTGCTGTAGATGAAATGCTCCAGCAGGGATGTGGCGGCAGTATAGTGAGGGGGTTGCTCTGTTAAGAATGCTTCCTTAGTGAAATGTGATCAGCAGCCGGACGTTTACCATTGTCTTTCATTTCCTTTAGGGAAGTGAGCTCATAATGTTGCTAAGAATAAAGCGAGGGAAACTGCACGTCACAGTGATGGACCTGCATGAATATTTTATCTGAGCAGTTATTGCATAAGTTATGAGGGTATAAATTGTGTAAACAAGTAGCACAATATGTCAATATATTCAAACATTATTTACAGCCCAGTCACCAGAGGAAAATGTTGGCATTGTATGTGTCTGCAAACCATGAATGTTACATTTGCACACTTCATTCATATCCTATTACCATTTCTAAAATGACGTCACATTGTTGAATTTATCATTTGGGGGTGGAGGGGATGGTGGGTTGCGTGATGCCTGGGCGAGACGCCTGCCAAGCTGCAGACCACTGCTAGAGACCAACTAACAAACAACAACAACAAAAAAAGGTTGTGATTTCATTACTGTGTTTCCAGCAGCTTTTTAGGCATGAAAAGTGGTTGTTTTTTATGGAGACATCACTGCTTTTCCTGCTGGAATGGTGATACATAAAGCGGCCATTTTTCTTCTGCCAGGACAGTGCCACAAAAAGCAGTTGTTTTTTATCGACACATTGCTCCCTCTCTGGCCTTATTTGTGCCATCCAAAGTGGTTATCTTAAACCCAAACATGATATTTTCCTAACACTAACCAAGTGCTTTTTGTGCCTATACCTTACCACGCATTATGTTAAGTTTCAACGGATCCGCTTCATGAAAACGTGCAAATGTAACACACCTGTTTGCAGAAAATGTACAATGCCAACTTTTCTTTCTGGCAATGGTTTTGTTATTTATGGGGATTCAAACTGTATCTCTCCAAGTAGAACTCATGACGTGGGTTTTATATATAAGCTCCATACAATAAATGAATGAAAAGAAAACAAACAAAAAGAAAAGTATTGCATTTCATACCGTTTGTTTACTGTCAGCGTTAAATTCACAGCTGTTATTGCAGTGTTGTGTCAAAACTTAAAAAGTTTGGAGACAGAATGCAGAAAAGGCCAAAACAACATCATTCACTGAGTAGTTCTAAACAGTAAATAGTAATGTGTGTAGTACTATGACTATATATTCAGTGTCACATACTGCAGATGGATCAACACATCCTTGTCACTAGCCTCCACCTAGTTATACTGGAACATTTGCTTTCCCTTTGCATCTAATGCCCTTCCATATGCAAAAGGCAGCTACACCACATAACACCCCCAGGACAAGCGCAGGAGCTCCTAGTGCCAAAGCCACTGGGGTGTTGGCTCCCACTGCTATAACCACCCCTGCTAACACCAACACAATAGCAATAGCCGAGGCAACCCATATATTCTTTCTTTTAACCCTTTTCTCCTTTTCTCTCTCCTTCTCTTGCTTCTCCCTCTCTGCGTCCCATATTTTCCTCTCCTCTTCTTTCTTCTCTTCCTCCTCTTGTTTTTGCCGATCCTCCTCCTCTCTCAGCTTCCTCTGGGCTTTTTCATACATCTCATTGGTGTAGTGTTTCCCCTCGTTCTCCAGTACCATTTCCTTTATCATGGTGATCAGCTCTTTGACCTGTACTTGGTCATCTGCGTCGTTGTTGTTGAAGGAATGGTACCTGCGACCAAATGTAATAGAGAGTCTCCGCAGCTCCTTGCACTCCTTCAGAGCATTGTCAGCTTTGGCCTGATCTTTGCATGTAAACAGCATGATAGTGTACATGGAGGCATCGTCTCCAAAGTTATCCTGGATCCACTTCACAGCATTTCTCTCCTCTTCGGTGAACCTGACTCCGAGCCTGATCACCAGTAGGAAGGCATGAGGGCCGGGCACAGACATCTTGACACACTCCTCTATCCTGGTTTTTAATTCTTCCTCTGTGATGCCTGTATCAAACAAACCTGGAGTGTCAATCACCTGGACCATAGTCCCATCCACTTCCCCGCTCTGTGTCTCACAGTGTTTGGTCACAGACACTGGGCTCGGGTCCTCTTTAAAGGCAGCTCTCCCAAGGATGGTGTTTCCTGACGCACTCTTGCCTGATCCAGTCTTGCCCACCAGGATGATTCTTAACCCTTTGGACAAATCCACAGCTGTAACAGCAGAAGCAAAATTAAAGTTGAGCACAAGGCAAAGGGAATTCATTCCTTTCTTCCACTATTTTTTTGTGGCACATTAGTCTGCAGTGAGCGTTCTGCCTTATTGGCACCACTTGGGTTGCGTAGGTTGTGAAAGACCTCTTTGAATGGTGTCAGTCTCGCTCTAACTTCATTTTTTGACCACTAGTCGTGCTATGGAGCAATGTTTTTGTTCTCCAGTAGCCAAAAAAGCATTGCAAAAGAGATGTCTGTTAAAACGTTTACAGGACACCTTAAACAGTGAATAAGATTGATCATTACTCTGTTGTGATTTTAAAATCATGGAGATAAAATAAAAATTTGAGCCTATTAAAGGTTTACAGGGCAAGTGGGGCAACGCGGGCGGGGCCAGCAGCAAAAACACTAAAGCACATGTACGTGGCTCAGTGATTTTACTTCAAATAGCAGGGTGTTGTCTTACAGTACAACAAAGTCTAACTCCCTAATTGTCAAAAACCAACGCTCGGTCAGTGGTACTCAGCACTGAGGCACCTTTTAGCAGAGGTTTGAGATGTACTGGACGGTGGTTATCGTTTTAATGCTCCAAGCATTTGCTGTAGTATAAAGATCAAGAAACTCAGGACTTTCACCCAGGAAACTACTGTTCATGTCCTGTGTGAAACCAAAAGTCAGTTGACTTATTTTAATTACAAGGTAATGTCACTGCACTAATGACATACTTCATGTTACGTATGTCATGACACTTGAAGTTACATGATATGACAAACAAACACACTTATTTATGCCAGACCATAATGTTTTTTTCTAAACCCAACCACATGCTTTTGTTGCCTACACCAAAGGAAGTCAACCTAAAGCCTAAAAATTCTGAGTTTATTTGGAAAATTGCATGTAACAATCGTAAACTGACACAGAGCCCCTGAGCATCCAAAACTGACCCTGGAGGGGAACCACATGTGATACGACCACATCACACCAGTTTTAGCCGCTTTACATTGACTCCCTGTTTGTTTTCGGACTAACTTTAAAATCTTATTGATTACTTTTAAGGCTCCTCATGGCCTGGGTCCAGATTACATGTCAGACCTGTTAGTCCTTTATGAACCTATGCGTAGTTTGAGGTCCTTGAGACTAAAGGGGACAGAACTTTTGTAATCAGGGCCCCGAGGCTCTGGAATGACCTGCCCGAGGAGATAAGGCTGTCTGAGTCACTGGCTTCATATAAGTCTCTCCTAAAAATGTACTTCTATCGAAAAGCATATCCTGAGTTTGTCTGAGCTGTCCGTTTGTCTGTCTTAGTGATTTTATTTCTCATTTATTATCTTGATTTTTGTTTTAGGCCTTCCTTATGTTATCTTTTACTGGTGACATTTTATGACATGTTATTTGTTTAATTTTCCTTGTGTTTGAAATATGTTTATTTTTATTGTACAGCACTTTGTAACTGTGTTTTGAAATTTGCTATATAAATAAGTGTATTATTTTTACTATAATAATAATAATAATAATAATAATAATAATAACAACAAATAAATAAATTCTAATTATTGTTACTACCAATAGTGTCATAGTTTGACGTGTAGGGCCAATGACCTAGTAGGCCTATCTGTATTTGACAAATTGCAGGTGAGAATGAGTTGTGCTGTCAGGTATCCAGTTCCTACAAAACATAAACATTTCACAATTAAAACTATTGTTAAAATTAGTGTTGTGAGTGACTTATGAGTAAGGAAACACATTCAGCATGTCTCCTAGACCTCAGGGATACACGCAGACTGTTTTGAAAAACATTAAATGCAGCTATTACTTAGGGCAGCTTTAAACCCAGAGGAAGAGCATTCAGCTGGAACCAAAATCTGTTTATAAATCATTTATTATATTCACAATGGCAGACTTGTATGTTTTATTGTAGTGGAAGAACCCTTTATTAATGTCTTAGTGACACTGATACTTGTTTTAAGGTGCAAGAACTCATAAGTCAAAAAGTTATTGCTAAACAATTAAGTCTGCAGTTGCGTTAGAATGTCATTAACTAAGGTTTTGTGTGTATTTTTCTGATACGCCATCAGAAAAGAGAAGCTACAAAGACAGAGGATGTAATACTAGAAAAGAAAAAACACCAGACAAAGGAATTTTTCACAACCCGGCAACCCCAAATGTGTTACTGATTTAAAAGCAGTAATAAAACATGTATTAGTTTAAGCCTTAAGAAAGTGTTCCTTGTTAGAGGTTGGTACAGATATAGTATGTCTTAATTATACTGAGAGGTTTCATTACAGAGACAATGAGTGAGCATACCGTCAAAGTTATTCAGACCACACCCATCAGACCGAGGGAGAGTTCTCTGCTTCTTTTCTCGGAGTGGTATTGCTGTGATGTGAAATTATACCATTGAGACACAAATAAAAATAGACTATTAGTCACTGACATCATTATCAAGGTCTATGTTTTTACAGTTTCCCTCTTGTCCTCTTTCCAGTGTCACAGTATCACAGCAGGTGTTACATCACAGTAATCAGAAGATCAATGCTGTTTTGATTTTTATCACAGGTCAGATAAATCGTCCTACCTTCAGCCATTACTTCGGATTCACTTTTTCCAGTTCCCAGGTGACCAAATACGTTCCAGGACTGAGTTGTGAACGTAGAGAAGCTCTGTGGCTTGACTGTAGACATTGATTTTCTGGGAAACTTCTGGAAGCCTAGCCTATGCACAGGGGGCTTCCCATTTCCTTGTATTGTCTTTGGTTTACATCTGAAAACCTGCATCCCTAAAGAGGCTGTCTGCAGCTCTGTGAATGTGCTGCACAGGTTTGTGTGTGGGCATTGCTGGTACTTTTATAACATGAGCAACATGAGAACTCGGGCTCTTTAACTGTTACTAGATTATCTTATTGTTACCATATAACGAGGCCTGGTTATTTAAAAGAGAGGAAACATGAACAACACCACATACTTCCATTGCTGAAATCTTCCATCAAAACCTAAATATCTTGGGGCGTCGATGGCTCAGTGGATAGAGCAGGCGCCCCATGTATAAGGCTGTTGCTGTTGTTTGACTCCAGGCTGTGGCCCTTTGCTGCATGTCACTCCCCCTCTCTCTCTCTCCCCCCTTCACGCTTAGCTATCCTATCTATAAAGGCAAAAATAGCCAAAATAAATCTTTAAAAAAAAAAAACAAACCTAAATATCTTCAATATATATTTTTATCGTAACCCTTTAAAACAGGTACATCTATTTGCCATCAGTTATAAAAATGTGGTAAATGCTTGGTTTAAAGTCACAGATTAAAATAAATATAATCCCACCATTTTTTAAAGGTCCAGTGCGTAGGATTAAGAGGCATCTATTGGCAGAAATGGTATATATTATTCATAACTATGTTTTCATTTGCTTATAACCATCTCAAAATAAGCTTTGTTGTGTTTTCATTACCTTAGAATGAGCCTTTATATCTACATATGGGGTAGGTCCTCCTCTGTAGAGTACGCCATGTTGTTCTACAAAAGCGCAGAATGGACCAAATCAAATACAGACTCGAGATATGGCCAATAGTATATTTGGTCAGCCACAGTAGCCACTACACATGGGACAAGGTTCAGTTTTGCAATCTCACCACAAGATGCCCCCAAATCCCAGGGCAGTAGTCACCATATACATTGAGGGGACACGTCCCCCCCAAATGTTCAGATATGCCCAAAATGCCCCCCCCCCCCCCCCCCCCCCAATATATAACTGAAACTGAAAAACAACAACATTGTCATTGCTATTCTACGATAGGCAACCACATACCACCATCCAAAATTATGTAATCATCATAATTATAACTAAACATAACAAATCCCCGTTATTATTACTATTGGTCCAAGTATTGCAGTTCTACGTGTGGTTTGCCCAAGTGGAGTTGCCGTATTAGAATGCCAAGGCTGGTTGCCATGGTTGCAATCAACGTTGTTGCCAGACTGCTGTATGACGTTCCAGGCAGGCAATGTAAATTTGTCTCTCTATTCATTACTGAATAAAAGTGGAAAACGAGAATGTAATATGAGCGTTATGTAGGCTATATTGTAACTGTTTATTGTGATTTTGTAAAGTGATGTGAAATTTTGATGTCGTTAATGGTTATTGCTTTGCAGTGTTCCACCGAATGTAACCACGTTACAATAGCTAGCTGGCTAGCTAGCTAACTAGCTAGCTAACAACAAGCCTGCGTGAAGTTTGAACTTGGAAGTGTCTCTCATTACGTTAGCGCTGCATGTGTAATTTCACAGTGGGTCGTCATGAGCAAGAGGAAGGGTGGCAGAGACATTCGGCTTTTTTTGGTCCAGTCTCAGAAAAGAAGCAAAACAAGTTAAGAGCAGTGAGAAAATGAGTAGTGTTACCAGTTATCAGTTGGATTATGTTTCTTGATTTAAGAATTATCGTCATTCAGATCAGAAATGGTTTGTCGGCTATCTGAGAGACACAAGAGACACCACTTGTTATCTGATAATATTTCTTCCATGTTCACTTACCTTTCTATGGATCAAAAGACTTCAATATGATTATGGGTGAAGTTGTACTTTATTAATCCTTAATCCCCAGTCTAATGCACTTAGACATTAAAAAAAAATAAACGTATCTCATGTGTTAGTGAATTTATACATATTTTACTTTAGAATTTCAATGGTAGGAAGTAAGGGTGTGTGTGTTTGGGGGAGCGTGCAGATTTGGTCCCCCCAGTGTTCACTCCATGGCTACAGCCTTGCCAAATCCTACACACTAGACGTTTAAATATTGCATATAGCATAGCATGTCTCTGGTCTGACTCACACATGACTACATGATGAACATATGAAGAGCCATCAAAGCTATGGCATAAACAAAATAAGCCAAAAAGTAAATGTATGAAATTAACAATAAATGCCTGGAGACTGTAAACTGAACTTAAGACTTTATTGAGATTTTTTTAGCCCACACAATCACACCAAGAAACATAAGTGAGTAACAAGTTCCCAATTCCCACTGTTATATTAACGGCATACCATGCAGGATTTTCCTAAAAAAAACAAGAACACAATATATAGACTTACACAAAGGTATTCCCTCTCAACCATCACTTATAATCCACCAGCAGTCATGAATAGATTACTGAACAGGCCTACCAGGCAAAGGCCCAGAGGCCCAAACTGTCAGGGTCCACCCCCAGCCTAATATGTCAAATTAACACATATCAACCAGGAAGAGACTCAAATTTACCTCCAAGAAACACAAAACAATTCTAAGGATACTCAACATGACTACAAAGAGACACAAACCCACAAAAGATGCATAATGACTTCAAAGACACACAAATGTACCCCAGAAATCTGTGTGCCTTGCTCCTGTGTAGGAGAGGTGGTGATGTCCTTTGGATATGTGTGCCCAGGGGCCCATGGACTCATAATCGGCCCATGCTAGCAGTGTGTATATGTGGAGAACCCGCCCTCTGCCTGTATTTTCACATTTTTTTCTCATTTTGGTTTGTTCAAGACATTTCTGGGTGTCAAGCTTTGTGCAGTGCCGTGTAGCCCCCAGCCAACAGCAGCATGTAGACTCTGTAAAAATGTAGCTACCAGGTCACACTTGCGCTTCAGCCGAATTCACACAAAATCCACACAGCACCTTTGTGCAGGGTTGTGCATGAGGTGTCGATGTGTTCATTTGTGCTTTGGAGCAGATCGCCATGAAACAATCAGAAAAGAGCATTTCATGTTTCTGGTTCATGGCTTTGTTTTTGTCAATACTACTCCCTCTTTTGATTCGCCCTCTAGCTTGTCTGAATGTTGTGTTTACAACAGTGGTAAATACTACATAGTATGCCTTAAAGATTTAGTTAACGGATTTCATAGGCTTAGCCATTTTCTAATGCCTCCTCCATATTTATTTTTGTCACAGGTCCCACAACTACATGAACATATCTATTGTGCAGTTATAACCTTGAGTTAATCCAAGTAGTCCACCTATTATCATGAGAGGATATGAGGTGGCAGCTGCTCCTGCTGCCAAAAGTCCCACTGAACCATAACCCACCATTTTACACCAATTCCTCATCTTCTCGTCCTCTCTGATCCTCTCTTCCTCTTCCCTCTTTCTTCGCTCTCTCTCCTCCTCCATCTTTCTCCTCTCCTCCTCAAGTTTCCTCTGAGCTTCCTGGTACATCTCATTGGTGTAGTGTTTTCCTCCATTGGACTTCACCATTCTCTCTATCTTACCTAGAAGTTCTCTGACCTGGCTTCTGCTTTCTCTCTGGTCATTGATGAGTGAATGGTATCGTCCTCCACACTCGTTTATCAGTCTTTGTAGATGTTTGCTCTCTGCCAAATAGTCATCCACAGATTTACCCTCTAGCAAGTCCGCATGTGTAAACAGGACTATGGTATACATGGAAGAATCTTTGCCATAATTATCCTGGATCCACTTCACAGCTGCCTTCTCCTCATCAGTGAATCTTGACTTCAGACTGATCACTAACAGAAAAGCGTGAGGTCCAGGAACTGACTGCTTAACGCACTCCTCAATTTTCAGTTTGACTTCTTTTTGTGTTTTGTTTGTGTCAAACAGTCCTGGGCTGTCGATGACAACGATGTTCCTGTCATGATCGCTTAGCTCTTCTCTGTGACAGTTTTGAGTCACAGACTCAGGTGAGACTTCCTCTTTAAAGGCATCTTCTCTCCCCAGGATGGTGTTTCCAGAAGCACTCTTTCCTGATCCAGTTTTTCCAACCAGAATGAGTCTCAGGTTTGTCAGATGTGTTGAACCTGTCAACAGTTCATAAAACATTAGTTTCAGTAATTAAAATAGTTGATTTCAGGAGGTGTGTTGTGTATGTCTGAGCAGTGTTGGAGATGTAACAGTAATTAAATTACAAAATAAATGTAATTGTAATCAGTTACAGTTATGGAGAAAAATATGTAATTAAATTATTTATTCATCAAAATGTTGGTAATTACAAAGGGGTTACAAATATTTTCTTTTGGTAAAAAGCTTACAGTAGAATATAACATCCATTCCATTTTTAGACAAAGTAGGTCAGCAAAGTTATTGGTGCAACTCTGCGTTCAATATTTCTTCACTTAAGTTTAAGGATTTTTCAGCTTTATTGCCCAGTTTAAAACAACTTTTGTAATCAAAGAGGAATCAAATGTATAAGTTACATCCCTCTGATGAAGTAATTAAAATATTTACATTACTTAAAACATTTTTAACAGGGTAATCTGTAACCTATGAGGCTACATTTCAAAAGTAACCCTTCCAACACTGTGTATGAGATGTGTGTTTAATTGTTAAATCATATCCAATCATTTGTCAAGAATTTTTGATAAATTTACACTACATGACTGCTTTGATTTTAAAAATATTAAATGTGTGGTTGGATCCATGATGTGACTCTATTTAGCCTATAAAACATTCCCATTCATGGTCATTAGGAGCCACGAAATATTTGCTAGCTTTGTGCTAACTGTTAAAACCCTAGTGTTAAACACACAGAGCATCAGCCTGGCCTCATGTTAATCATGAACATACTTATCTGCTGTAGTGTCACTGTAGAAATTATGGTTACAGTCTCTAAGGCGTTTTAGCTGGCAAGTAAAGGCTTACAAAGTTAGCTAGCTCACATTACTTAAAGGTTTTAAGTTTAGAGTGTTAGACATTAAAGAGAAACCCCAACTAAATTAAGAATTCCAATATCCATGGTCTAGGAAAGTTCAATCAGTATTTGTAAACATGAGCTACTCCCTCAAAGCCAGAAACCAGAGAAGTAAGTCTCAAACTTGTGATGTCATCCAGTAGAAAGTCTGGTTAGGGGTTGGCGGATCAATCGTAAAATATTGATACTCTTGATACTAAGTCCATCAACAGGATTGATTTCAAAAAAGGCATTGTTTGTCTCTTCTTAATCGTACATATTTGTATTTCACAAGTAAAACTGTCTGTGCAAACAATGCTCCCTTGTCATGAACACATCTAGTGTGTGTATTCTTTGCTTCTCCCCTGCTTTTGTGTTGTCTGCACTTATACAACTTAGTTCCAGCAGCATCTTCTTAGTTTCACTTTCACCAGATGTCGGCAGTAAGAGGACGGTAAGGCCACCTCCCATCCGTTCCGTTTACTGCTGGGAGCTGGGACCCTCAACTGTACTATGAAAGAACCACATGCACATCTGCCTGACCATAGCTGTCTGCTGTTATTCAGTGTGGATAGTATGTCTGAGCCTGACTAGCTTTATCCAACACATCATAGCAGTGATGAGCTAAAGAGGAAAAATCATGAGAAAGACACCTTGGAGCTGCAACCGAAAAGAAGGAAGGAAGGAAATGCCTCAGCATCCAGACCTGACACAGACAGAGTTCACTGACAGTCTGTTCAGAGAGGCTCAGACAAGGAATAAACAGGTTTAAAGTAGCCAAGTGAAATTCAAATTTTAGTCAAGTCAAATCAGTATTGGTTAATGTTACATTTTCAAACTGTAATAGACCCTTCATTAAGTCCTGCCCTGGATGCAGACTGGCCAATCACGGAGCAGACCAGGGTCCGACAACAACACAGCTGTGCTCCACTGACTCTAATGCAATCGTTTCAGATTTCCCTCATTTTCAGGCTGGTTTTGTGGATTTGGAGCTAAATGTTGTGTCTGGGGCACGTCGTGTATTAATGATACTCGTTACCTGGAGAGGTTGGAAAAAGATGTACGTTTCTTCCTTGTTCAAAAGCCAAAATCAAACCATGGAAAGTGTAGGGTTAGCTAACTAGCTACTGAAGATATAGCCTACTGAATGTATACACATGCTTTGTACTGAAACAAAGACCGACCCTGCTGTACAGGAACCAGTGAAGGGAAGCAGGGAAACTTTGCTGATATTGAACCAGCTGTGTGTCATCGCATTGTGCGCAGATGAACGTTGTTTGAGTTCCCCCAGAGATCCCTGCCCATCCAGCAGTGGAGGTCCGGGTGCTGGCAGCGGCACGGGGGCGAAGCCAAACACTGCACACACGGTGATGCCACACAGCTGGTTCAATATCAGCAAAGTTTGCCTTTATATTCATTGTCTTCTGTGGCGATCAGCAGTGATGTAATGGTTCTCTTTTACACTGTGATCTGTAGCCTATAGTTCAGCTTTAGCTTCTAACTATCTTTGTCTTTTTAACCTGTTGTTGCTGCTGAGTCAGTTTGACATCCTGGATATATCCTTCAAACACAGACTGTAGACCCCTCTGTCTGCTTCTCTCTGGAATCACTCTTTCATTTTCCCAAAAATATGATAATATTTCTTCAGGGAGTGCAGTTAGTGACAGTGTGGGCTCCATGCTTACTCTGACAGCTTGTCGGACCATCACAAAAGATGGGGCTTAGTGAAAGGTCAACAGGTCATCACCTAATGTTACTTAAGCAGACTGATTATTCACCTCATCAGTCATGACACACTGCTTTCCCCCTACATCAAAAAAGCCACTTTTAACAATAAACAGTATGGTATTGGTATCAATATCAGTAATTCTGGCCCAGTGTGATTTGATATTGGATCGAAACCAAATTTTGTAGTATTTGTGGGAGACTGACTTTGTCCCACAGAGTGTTTGTTTTGTTTTTTATACCCAAATGAGCTTTATTCTCAGTTGTAAAACAGAAATTGGACCCATATACTCAGAACATTGTCCTGTGTGCTCTCCGTGTCGTCTAGAACATCTTTTATCATTCATTGTCTATGGAGCGGCTCCAGACTTTATACTTGATGACATCACAAATTTGAGTTTTTGCACTCTAGATTTGGATTTGACGGATTTGCCCGTCATGACTATATATTTTGTGCGTGAAGATCTGTAGAAGAAAAACGGTCATTACTTCTATAAACTTACACACCGTGTTGCGTGACCAGTGCTCTCCCACTGTGTGTCCCACATATGTGTCACATATCTACTTTACACTGTCACAGTCATTCGGCTTATTTGTTGCAATTCTCTCATTTCTCATTCCAACAATTTAAAAGTCAAAAAAGGCACACGTGCCCTGATGAAGGTATGTACCAAAAATTAGGTCAGTCCGGTAACGGTTTAAGAGATATGTGACGGAATCACACACACACACACACACACACACAGACATTGTGCATAATATAGAGATGTATTTGGACTGTCTTACACCATAGGAATAAAATGAAACCTATGGGATTTAAAAATGGATGTATTCTCCCTTTAAGAAAGAAAATACATTAACCCTTGTATGATGTTCGTATTTTTGTTGTTCAGCCAGTGTTTGTGGGTCTGGTGGACCCGCTGCATTTTTGGGGTTTTAATTCAACGCAATCAAACAATTTTATGTTAAAATACTCAATGGATGTTTACTTCATCTCAATTACAAGCAATATAAACAGCATTTATGGTTAATTAAAAGTTGTGATAAGGAACCACACTGGCAAAGCTATATGTATTGTGTCCTGCCCCCAATTTGCAGCTGTGATAGAGTATGAGAAAATATTGGATTGAAAAGATTGGTTCCCGCAAGACAGAGGGTAAAAGGTGCGGCACTGTGAGAGCAGACAGGTGTTGGTGCTTGAATTTTCAACAATGTTGCAGCCTTGTGTGGGAAAGGCAGGGGCAACACAAAACACACACACTAACAGCAGGCCCAGACAGGAGGAGGACAGAGTAAAGGTACACAGGCCCTACAATTTGCACACTTTTATTTGCCCCAGGTCCAGTGGACCCAAACATCCTGTATGTAATATAAATGATAGGGAGGGGATAGTGTGTGTCATAGAAAATATGTTCTGATATATGTTCTTCACAGAAAAAGAGCCAAGGCCAATGTGTCTGAGTTTGAAAAAATAATTAATCTTTTCATTTTTCTCGTCCCGCAGACCTGAACATCATACAAGGGTTAAATCACACGTGTACAAGGCTAGTTTGGCAGATGTGCTTTAGCTACTGTTTTAATAGTTCTTGACAAACCTGCAGTGACAGTGACCTTGTTTTCTGTTACATCACATACCTTTGTGTTGATTTTGGCAGTGAGCAGTTTCACCACATAATGTGAGCAGCACAAGCAGGGTGAAACCTGGGATCCAAGCTTTTCCCTCCAACATCTCTAAGAGCAGAGTAATCTCTGTCAGAAACCTAAGAAAATAAGAAAAAAAGATGAAAGAAAATCTATTACAGCGGGTAGCAATCAAATGTTTGTTACATTAGAGACCAGCATAGGAATAGACCAACATCTACAGTACAGATATGGTGTCTCTCCCTTATTTTTTCCCCTTTTCCCCTCCCTCACACCATCCCACCCATAATCATGGCTAATTCCAGTTAAAGTAACTAAGTGCATCATAATATGGAAGTATATGCATCAAGGTTTCCAATAAAACTAGAAGTTAGACTGAAATAAATATATACAATCACACAATGTTCAGTGGAGGTGGTTATACATGAGAAAAGACAGCTAAACAAACAACAAAGCTATCTATCAAAGCATGTGGCAGGTTAACATTTTAATTAAGACAGACATGATTGAATTAATGGTTCCCTTAATTGTCTGGCTGTGTAATCCAACCATGTAAACAAAGCTCTCTTCTTACATTAAAGCAGATATTTTTCACGTACCTGTACAATAAGTGTTTCCTCAGCTGTCTGATATGTTTGCAGGTGGAGGCATTCTTTATAGAACAACCATCAGAGCACACCCAACTGTCAGATAGCACAATGCTGAGCTGGTTTTGCATCAGATTCAGGCATCACTTGAACATCATGGGATCTAGTTTCATTTTCGTGGAAATAGAAAGTTTCACCGCTGCAGTTGAAGAGGAGGGAGCCATCCACTGGTGGCAGGAGGAACTGAACTATTTAAGGTTGCAAGAATATGAAGCACAAGTTAATAAAATAATTGAAAGTCAAAGCAGGGCTTTTCTGGGCTCTTTTGTCACTCATTCATCTCAAAGATTTGTGAAATGTAGGCCTACCATTTGCATCTAGGAACTCTGCCCAAACAGCTCAACGTTTTATGTGAAATTCAACATAAAGCAATGGAAACATTTTGTCATGCAGGAGGTGACAAGTTGTCGGTTTTAATCCAGACATTTATGGGAAAAAAATGATTATTTTTGGAGTTACTATTTTTGGTCAGCAGTAGCTTAGCATGAAGACAAGGGGGCAGCAGCCTGGCTCCCAGCACATTTAAAGCCCGCTGATTAACAGGTTATATTTTGTTTGCTTGATCTGTGCAAAAGCGTCAATTAGCCGTTTTTATGGACAACAGTATGCCAGACTTTTCAAAACGCATACTTGTGTACTTACACTAAATATTTTGAGTGCATAAGTATGTTCACGCACTGAGAAGTATGGAAAAATGCAGTGCACTATGGGTACCCGGATGGTGCATTACAAAACGGTCAAGAAGTTGAGTGTGGAACGTGGACTTGATTTTTGGTCCTTGCTGGCACAGCTACTGCTGTGATTAGGTTTCCTGCATACCTTTAAATAACTTACCTGAGTGCTATATTTTCAAACTAACCATACTGGAAAATGTGTATAACTAACTAGTGCTAAAATATATTGATGTAAAGATTGACTAAATTATGTCCAACTACAAAAAACTAGTCATATGTGGAAGTGTATAGTATTTTCATCAAATCAAAATAATTCAGGATTTTTGCTCTGCATTCCTACAGAGCTGCAGGCGGGTTATCATACAAAGTGTGAACGTGCACTCAGAGCGTGGGTTGAGATGGTCATGGAGTTTGCCAAAGTCTGCACTCTTATGTCCTGCAAAACCATGACAATCTGGGTGAAACCCCATGTTTTTATCGAGTCTCCTGGACTCAGTAACTTTCTGGAGTTCTGCCCGGCAACTATTCCCATTTCCAGACTGTTTCAGATCATAAGGAGAAAAATTATATTTAAGCTGTGGTTTCCAAAACCTAAGAACTTTATAAAGAAACGTATCGGTAGACTGGCTCAAAGTCACAACTTAATTAAAGTACATTTCATCCTACCATTTTTTTTAAATATTGCAAACAGCACATTCTCTTTATTTTGATCACACTATTCACAGTATCAAAATCAATTTCATTCATTCACCTATCATTATAGCTTTTTAATTATTTTTTCCAAGTACAACATCTGACTAGCTTAGTGGGTTCAGGTGCTGGGGTTGAAACGCACTTGGACCTGATTGCAGTATCAAAAAGAGCCCAGGTTCAGCTAAACCGCAGCTGAAGGGCAGCCCTGATGATTCAGATGAATGTCACATGAAAGCATTGTACATTCACTCCATTAAAGGTAATATAAGGAAATAATGTTTGCTGGTTCAAGGATCCCCATTCAGAACACATGAATGTGCCTCTATCCTAAAACATATAACAATCAGCTGTCTGATTTTTCAGTTTAGCCAGCATATTATATAGTATACAGTAACTGCAAAGGAAAGAATTTAGAGATGAAATAACATTATACACTGTGTATTATCATTTACATGCTAGTTGCACTTTTGATTAGCACAGACGTATACAATACATTTACTTATTTAATCTCAGGGAACTATCAGAGGTCAGTTTGTTGAAGGTGGCGGTGCTATTTGGGCTGAGAAAGTCATGTGTAAGGTAAGGTAAAGGAGGTTGTTGGGTCGGTGTGGGGAGCAGTGAGAGTTGGCATTAGGGGAGTGTCTCTGGGATGCCAGAGATCACTGTCTAGCCTCCTGGAGGTGTCGTGGGACCAACTAGACAAAACACTGGTGAAAGGAGGTTCCCACCTGATGACCCCAAAGACATGTTAGTTATCACTGCTCACTGGTCTGTATAGTTAAGCCTTGCCATAATAGCTTATCATAGGGCTTAGGAGGTTATTCACTGAGTGCTGATCCTTTCTCTGGAGCACAAACTTCTTGTGTTTATTTGAACTATTTACTCACAAGTCTCACCTGCATGCCCATATTACTAACAAACTGTTCTCATGTCCTCCCTCAGGTGCAGGACTTGTGCCGCTGCATTAAATTCATGGTTTGTATTAACTGACCTGTTGTGTTGGTCATATCATCAGTACAGCAACCCTCTGTCTGTCTTAATCAAACTTTTTTAGTAATTACAGATTTGATGGCATTTCCTTAATAAGATCATAAATGATGAAAGATTTTAACGCTTAGAAATAAAGAAAGGAATTTCAGCTGTGGAAACTCTCCCTTACACTGAAGTATATGACCTCTGACTGATGTTAGACAATGCCTGGTACAGCAACTTGATTATACTAAACTACAGGTGACAGTTTTAAATTATTTGTTAAGTTCCAGTGGACACAAAAATTAAAATGCCTTGTTTTAAAAAAAAAAAGTTTTAATATGAAGATTTTTCACTTTATCTTAATAGAATAAAAAGACATAGAGTGCTCCTATATTTTTTAAAAAAAAAATTGTTGAGATTTTTAAACAACAGCTACATCCCCATAATGCATTGAAAAGCAAATTTGTATGTTTAGAAGTTTAATGTATATTACATTTCCTACTGTAAAATTACAGCTGCATCTGTTTAATCTGTAAAAACACAAAGAGCTGTCCAAGCTGATGTATTAAATAATAAACAGACAGTGAATACCAAGACACTTGAACTGAACTTATTGCACTTTATTCAATTATATTATGAGACCACAATCAATTTTACGCAGAAACTAAATCTTGAAGAATAAAAATCATTAGAGGTCTACATTTTTGAACATGCTTACTTGCATCTGCTGCAGGGCATTTAATTACATTTTTTTCAAGCACTTGCTTTTAACCACATCAGTATAGGGATGGAAATACAGCAGAGGGAGGACAGGGAATGAGGACAGAATGAGATGGGAAATTGCATGAAACAAAGACTGTCCTTGCAGAGATCCATTTTGTATTACATCTTTCTTTAACGCAATCACAATAATTTTGACTTCTTCCAGGATATTTAAAGGGAAGATATGACTGTGCCCTTGAAGAAATATATGCCGATGCGCTATGGACAAAAGACATGATACTCGATTTGTCAGGCCACCACTGGAACAGCTTCTGTGTTAAAGTTTCTTTTTCCTTTCCCGCTTCCACCTCCTCCTTCCTTGTCTCCTTCTCTTCAATCCGCTACATTCTCTGAGAACCATTGAAAGAACAATGGGGTCACTGATTAGAATAGTCATTATCTCACTTGATCAAATTAAACTTTCATTGACTGGCTCCAGAAAATAACTCTGTTGGTCCTCTAGTGGGCATTATGAAACATGGCAACATGTATCAATGAACCAGGGGCACTCACTCATTCACTCTGCTCCCCTGTCTGACCTATTGTGCCCTTCCATGGCTCATCTATCCAAAAAGTTATGTAACACAGGTGGCGCAAAGTCTCCATCTGTACATCATGTGTGAATAATATGTACTGTACCTTTGTTTTGCTTTTGGCTGTGAGCACCAAGGATTTGACTGCATAGTGTGACCAGCACAAGCAGGGTGCAGCCTGAGATCCAAACTTGTCTTTGTGACATCTCTGTGACTGTAATCTCTCTTAAAAGAAAAAATAGTGAAATTAAAAAATTATTAAGAACCGAAAAGTTTAACTTTAAATGCAAATGGAATATTGGCAGCAAACGATCAAAACACAATTAAACATTACAATTAGGATGGAAATCATGAAATAATAATAATAAATAAATACATTATATAAGTGATATATGTGTATAACCTGCAGGTGTTTCCTCAGCTCTCTGATATGTTTGTGGGTGAGAGAGCCTTTTGTAGCACAGCATTCAGAACACACCCAACTGTCAAATAACAATGATGATGAACTATTTTAGTTTAAGGTTTCACTTTAGCATTTGTAATTTAGTTTAATTTCCTTGGAAAATAGTACTTCCAGAGCAATGAGGGCAAACATTCACTGAACAGGCCAAACCAGAAGAGGTTAATTATAGAGAGGAGTGTGTGTGTGTGTGTGTGTGTGTGTGTGTGTGTGTGTGTGTGTGTGTGTGTGTGTGCTTGTTCCGTCGCAATCATTTCGTTTCCCTGTCACCTACTTGCGTGACAAGCCACCTGCCTCCCTCCATCTTTATCTCTGTGGCATGATATCTCCCCAGCTGCTGTGAACTTGAGATTGATTGGACTGTTGACAAGCACAACTTTCCGTACACTAGGTGTAGACAAACTCACATTCCCACCTCATGTTTGAAGTCATAGAGCATCCGGAAATGATGTGATGACAGCAGTAGATGTTCTGGTCCTATATCGTTAGTGTGCATCAGGAGATATGAAACCATAATACAGGCCTCCTCCCAGATGAGGAGACAACTCATGTTTATGCATATCCCAATATGCGAGTCTCAGTGGGCTGCATCAGCATCAGTTCCCAACTTTACACCGTGTTTTTGTGTGTCCAACACAGTCCAAGCTCTCAACAAAACCAAACACATCAGAGCATCAGTGAAAATGGACTATTAGCGTTGAAGAGATGTAGACTGCCACAAAAACTAAACAGAAATCTGTACCAGTCATTAAAATTAGACGGCATCCACAGTGTGTGAATAACAAAATGCAGAGCAATGCATTTGGTTTGTAGAACTGGGGGACTTGTGATTGTGAGCGACCTCACCTGAGTAACAATTTTTCCAGCGAAAGACATGGCCGAGTGTGGAGACCGCATCACGTTTCAATAGTGCTTAGATGCAAGCCCATCACCCCATGTGCGTGTGTGTGTGTGTGTATCTGTGTGTGTGTCTGTGTGTCAGAGAAACACACAGAACAATGAGAACATATGTGAATCCTCCCCACGTGCAGTCACAGACAGAAGCATTTGTTCAGAAGTGCTTGGCTGTAGGTGTGTGTTTTGTGTGCAGTGATCGCAATAACAAAGACCGAGATGACAAGTGTCACCGCACGTGCAATGTAGTCATTGGGGAGTGAAAAGGGCTCAGATTTCCTGCAATGTGAACTTCACATCACGCGACAGCTGCAACGCAAAGTTCACACAGCTTCACTGTAGAGGCAGAAAAACATGACCCATCAGCCGTTTATGTCAGTTAAACTACCCAGTTTACCAAATCACTTCATTGAGAAATATTTTCACTTGCAACAGTTTCTTTCACTGTAAATCCTTTAATGCTGCTACCTTTTTTTTTTTTTTACATATGTTGCTTAAATCTAATTCAAATTAGCTTTATTGAATTGTATGATTACAAAAAGTGATTGTAAACAAATAAAGGACAACAACATCAGCAACACTGTATGTGACAGATAAACTATTATCAAGAAACAGAACATTGACTCAGGATAATTCAAATAAACACAAATTAATTATGATAAGAAAAATATGTATGAATCTAAAATGTGAGACATTTATCTCATTTAATTGACCGTTTGCTAATCTGATTAGTCTATCTGCTCTAACTTATGCAGTGGTTGGCATGTTCAGCGTACTAGCTTACTGCCTACAGCAGTAACTGAGGACTTCCAATGCCAAAGAGCGCATCATATTTGTGGGGTTAGAGGTAACATCAAAGGCTATCCACCCACATGTGTTTTATTTCTCCAATGTGTGGAGCTGTCCTTAAAGGGATAGTGCATCCAAATATGAAAATTCAGCCATTATCTACTCACCCATATGACAATGGAGTCCCAGGTGAAGTTTTAGAGTCCTCACATCCCTTGCGGAGGTCCAAGGGGAGAGTGGGTAGCAACACAACGCCACCTAATGGAGGCTTACGGAGCACCAGATAAAAAGTCTGAGACACCCCAAACCCTGACTGCCTACCCACAGATCTAACTTGAGCCTCAAATAGCCGTCTTCGATGGCTTGCCGAGCTCGAAACGTCACCAGACCCGACATACCACTCTCGACCATGGACACAGCCGATCGTAATACCCCGAGCCCGGAGCGCTCCCTCCTCAGGATTTGCCAACAAAAATAAAAAAGAGAAAAAATAACAAAGTGACAAGTCCTGCTTGCCCGTCGGCTAAGCTTATCGGGGTGCTCAAAAAAACAAAAAAAAACAATGAACTTTACTTAAATACAAAGCAGCCAAGGCAAATATTACTTACCAAACGGATTATTTTTAACAACCATACCTCTCCGCGCAACGTGCCAAACATTTCAAACAAAGCCCTCACAGTTTCCGGATTCCCAAGCCTCTCCGTAGTAAGCACAGTAACGTCATTTCATTCACAACCTTCCGAGCTAATACACAAACCGACTGAATGAATGACTTACCGGTGCGCACAGGCAAAACAAGTGGACGAGCCCCTATTTTGTCATGACCTGGCTCAAAGCCATGACAAAAATGAGGAGACGTACGTTTTTTAAAGTAAAACAAAATGATTTTATTACAAACAATATAAAATTAGGTAATTGGCAACATAATCAAATACTAACTGAACTAACAAATAAACTAAACCACAACATAATGCGCCGAGGAATCGCGGGCGTAGTGATGCAGCCGAGCCAGGTAGGTCACGGAGCAGAGCAGAGAAGAACAAATGTGAGGAGTAGTGCCAGCTCTTATACACCTGTGGACTGGCCAGGTCCATCCAGGTGTGGTAAGCCCCACCTACGACCAGCAGGGAAAGACAAGACAACACAAGAGAGGGAACACAGAACACAACAGCAGGCCCTAGAGGCAGGAGGCCGTCACACGTCCAAAAACATGAACGCAGAGCCCATGTCTCATGGTCTCGCGCAAGCACGCACACGTGAGCGCAGTGCCCAGAGAGGCAGTCAGAACTACAGGCTACAATGAGGCTAAAAACAGAGTTCAAATGACATTTTTCCAAACAACTTTTTATGTCAGGGCTTCAGGACACTTGGATCACTAAGGACAAGCAGTATGGAGATATTTTGTGGTTTCAATTATGTGTTTTTGGACCTTTGAATCTGGGGCGCCATCAGCCTCTATTAGGTGGAGTTGTGTTGCTACCTCCTCTCCCCTTGGATCTCCACAAGGGATGTGAGGACTTAGATAATGGCTTAATTTTCATTTTTGGGTGCACTATCCCTTTAATGCTATCAGCGTTCAGGCTAACATTAACTGCTGCTGTTCTCTAGGTCACCTAAGAGTAGCCTATCCATTCTACTGCTCATATCCAAGGCACATCAGGGTCTGCAATTGAAAATGTTTGATGTTATAAATATTTGGGACACTTTTAAGACAAATGTGGAATACCTAGAAAGCAAACTGAAGGTCAAAATTGGAGTTTTGTATCTAGAAATCCTGTTTTTCTTCTACTAGTCAAAGTCAAATCATGCAATCTACAATTATGTCTGTGCTTGATTACAGTGATACTGTATACACGCATGCTTCTCCCTTCAACTTAAAGCCATTATGTGAATGGAAAGCAATGCACAGAAGGTTTATGGGCCTGCCAAACTGAATAGATGAGCTATGTAAATTCAACTTCCGTTGTGGCATTTTCATATGAATTGTTACCTCCAACATGAATGAAAAAGGAAAAAAATAAAACAACAAAACTTGGTCACAAAAAAAGAAATATAATCCCTTCAGCATGTTCTGGGTCTGCCCCGGGGCCACCTACCAGTTGGATGTGCCCAGAAACCATTTTACCCTCACTCAAGATACTTAAACTCCATTTTTCAACAGAGAACCATGGCAACAGACTTGGAGATCCTGACTCTCAGTCTCAGCTGCAAACCATCACAGTGTGTGCTGGAGGTCACTGTGTGATGAGGTCAACAGTCCACTTTTGTCTGACATCAAGGTACCACTGTTTAAAAAAAAGAAAGAATTGTGAGTGTTATGCTTGTTATGAAGTGTTATGATTGTATGCTGCTGAGCCTACATATAGCAGGCCTATCAGGCAGAAAGCCCAATCAGTGTAGCAAGCAAGTGTAGCAGACTTAGGGCAGATGATGAGTGAGCAGCAGGTATGAGGAACCAACTTCACCGCTCATCCTTTGACATAAGAGAAGAAACTGTTACAGGTCTTCAGACATTTCATTAGTCCACTGAATATTATGACATTTTACTGGATAGCCTATTAGCCTGAGTCTTCCCTGCATGTGTTATAAGAAATATGTTTTTACTCCCAAATAAAAAAAAAAAGGATTTGTTTATGGTCCCCAAATCTCTCAGAGCCTTGTTGCACCTTTCCACAGCAAGCATTGTTCAGATGCTTTCAGAGGGCACCACTAACATGTCAGCACCACACATCTTTACAATGGCACCCAATTAGCGCTCTGTGATAAAGAAACTACTCTCACACTTTCACAATTTCTTTTCATTTTATTTTTTTTTAGAAAAATACACACTGGATCTCAGTAGACACATGGCATTGATAATCACACATTAGAGGTTTGACAGTTAGCACTTTTATAGTGTGTGACAATGAGGGTGTGTGGTGTTACTAACCCATTCATCACTGCACTATGTCATTTTGTTTTGCTTGTTAAAAATGCTGCTCGTAGGCAGGGATCATGTGCGGTCTGTTGTAAATGTAAAGCCCGAGTGGTCTGTTGTCTACTGCACAAATGATTATGAATAGGAAGTGGAAAGCAGTGACCATGGAAACTCATCGACTGTACCTCCAGCTCGAGGAGCGAACAACCTTTAATCAGTGCAGCACACACAGCAAAAACATCCATCTTTTTCACTCAATATTTCATGTAGTTGGAGTTTCATCAATTGTTGTTTCTTTGCGTCACTTTGGGAAGATGAGACCAACACCTTGCCTCACATCTGTTCTCCCTCCACGGCCATGACTTCGTCCAGTGACCTTTTACAGAGGCCTCCTCAGCCTGACAAAATCAAGAGTGAGCTGACAGTCATCATGCACGTGAAAGCTAAATAACTTGAATTCATAGTTGACGGGCATGACGAGCCGACTGAGTGACAGGCCTATCTATCTGAGTGGCCATTTATAGAGTAGTGTAGGATGGGATGGGAAGGTATATGCCCACTGGAAACCCCCCGCTGTAATCTGATTGTTCACTCTGTGTGGGATTCGGGCTGTGGACTCCTGGCAATCACGACTCCAGGATAACACACAGTCAAACACACACACACACACACACACACACACACACACACACACACACTGGCACACAGGAAGATAAAACAAGGAGTGGGTGAGAGAGTTGCTATGTAATAGATTTTTGAATATAGGTTATGCAATAGTCATACAATAATATACAAGCTCCTGACTCAACATCCTCCTACTTTCTCCTTCAGTTACGTGAATAGGTATCACATACACACATAGATAGATAGATAGATAGATAGATAGAAATTTAAAGGGAATATGAAAATATCTTTTGCAAATAACTTTTGTGATATTCCATACGCACACTACACAGTTTCTTGTATTAATCAGAAAGCCATTATGCTATTAAAAAATATTTTATTTTGAAAACATCATCTCTGTAATAGGACGCATTTGAATGTCAGTGCTTAAATCGTTGTTTTATTCGCTCCCCTCATATTTAAATAGTCCTTCACTGAATCTGACATTTCTCCAGTGGTTTGCCGGGTTTTCTTGCAGTGTGTGGCCCAATGACTTGTCGGAGATCCGTGCTAAAACTCGGCCTGCGGGCCAGTGGGTACAGGGCGCCACAGGCATCATCGCGCCCAGGTGTCTGGCTGCCCGTCCCCGGCGCACGGCCTGTACGCATTGCCTGGTACGATCGGAGGGAAACTTTGCGGTGCTGAGACGGGCCAGTCTCAGTAGGAAGCCCACCTCGCTTTGCCAAAGTCTCGAAGACTTTCTCTAGATTCGTGCTGTCCTTTGCAGACGTTTCAAAGTATGCACAGTCATCACCGAGGGCTTGGAGCACCTCTGCTTTGGATATTTGTCTCTCAGACTCCAGGAGATCAACCTTGTTAGCGCAGACCACCAGGGCAACCTGCCGCTGTGCGCACTGCTCTGGCACAGAGGATTTGGTGAGCTTGGATTTAACGGCTAGAATCTCCGACCGCAGGGCGCACACCTCTTCAAAGGAGCTCCGGTCTTCTAGACTGAATACTAAAAGAAAAATATCTCCTGCAAAAAAAGAGAAAGAAAATCAGTCATTAGTTGATATTATTATGGACACCCCATCCTTATAGAGAGAGGATAAACATTTACGCATGCACCCGTCGCTTTCAGTGATTTTTCTCTTGTGAACAAATAAAAAACTGACATTAAATTGTAAAGTTTTGCTGGACAGAGAGTATGACTAAGCCTTTACGCACCAGTGAGGATAGACAGCCGCCGCTTGGCTGGGAAATCCCGTTCCTTGGACGCATCCAGGACATCAATTTGGTAGGTCTCTCCGCGAATACGGAACAGCTTCCTGAGGAAATCCTCGGAGGTAGGATTGTACTCTTCCACAAATCCGTCCCGAAGGTATCTTCTTAGGATGGAGGTCTTGCCGACCCGTGGCGCACCAAGAACTACGATGCGCTTACAGTTCTGTGGCTTGGTCGGTGCTGGCTCTTGGCCAATTTGGCGCTGCCGGGGTTGACCGTGGAGAACCAGAGCTGCCAGCTGGTCCAGTGGGGATCTCTTGCAGGGGTGACTGTTGTTGGCGGTGGGGAGTTGCCTCACGGCTGCCCCTGAGCGCGTCTTCTTTTCCTGCTTCCACTGAGACGAAGCCACTTTAAGTATCCCCAAGCCCGCTTTAATTCCCGATGAACTCAGGTGCTGCGATGCGTTCTTGTAAGCCAGTAATACTTTGGAGGACCCCGCGCACTGTCCGTCCATATTACCATGAAACTGGGGGCCATCTATGGTGGAGCAGCTGAGCTGGTGCGCAACAGAGATGGATGCTGTCTGTGCGCCGGTGGAGATGCTGCCTCTTTCCATCGTTTTAGTATGAGTTTAGTCCGTGGGTTCCGCGCAACGAAGTGGGCAGAATCTGTGATCTGACGTTTCATAGGCCTGCTAAAGCTTGTCTGTGGCGCGGTGGCTGATGCCACTTGTCTTTATATACTCCATCACCGAGCCCATGATGCATCTGCGTCATGCTGATTGATAGAAAGGGTTGTTGTGTTCGTCAGGAGAATACTGTGTGTTTAGGGAAACACAACGTAGGCTACTGAGCATGACTACATTTCGGTCTGCTTGCATGATTCTCTGAAGCTCCTTGATAAATGAAGTGTATGTCCAATATGATTTTATATGTAATAAATAATTATTATCATTATTATTATTACATTTACTTTTTACTTTACAAACTCATAACTTTAATTTAACAAATAAGCAAATAATTGACTAGTAGAGGTGATTAATCTATTTCTCTAAACACATTTCTGTAGTTTTTTTAAGTGCATTTATTATTAATATTCTTTTTGTGTGAAGGATTGGACTTCTATGGGCACTGTAGGTCAGCCAATATTTTTTTAATTTATGTTATGTTTCAATAAAGCACCTTTGTTCTTTTAAACAACAAAATTTTATAACTTGCTATTGTTATTATTATGATTATTATTATTATTTATTTATTTTGGCACTACAGTATTAGCCTATAGCCTGATGCATTTAGTCAGCTACATAGTATGTTTTTGTTTTGTTTTTTAATCCCCAATACTGGCACATTTTGTAGGCTATGTCATCGTCGACGACCTAAAAACCGTGTAGCCTACTGATCCAAGGCCAAGTCAAAATATTATTGTTTTTATTAGCTATTATTGTCTCTTATTTGCATGATAACCCAGTTGATAACCTATATTTTTTGCCTTGTTCCTGTTTGTTTTGCTTCATACAGTACAGGCTTATATCTTGTGCCTCTTTTTTCATTTCTTTTTTTATTGTTCCCTTTCTTGTTAAGGAAATTGTTTTAAGAAAGAAAGAAAGAATGAAAGAAAGAAAGAAAGAAAGCACCGTCACTCCGTGGCTTTGAGGCGTCCGTTGCCATGGTTACCGTCAGAGAACACATACCTGTAGCTTAGGGTAGCTTACTTAGCACTGTTAGCTAATTGATGCTACATAAGTATCGCTTTCACGGAACCAAATGAGGCGCGGCGAGTCACCGAGGAAGGAGTTCAGACCTCTAAGTCACGCAGGTCAGCTACAGCCTTACTTATCTCTCTTTCAAAGAAAGTCTATGTTCCCCTCTTCTCTCAGCTAACTGTCGGCTAGCCGTGCTTTGTCGCATTGTGACCTGTCAGCCTGTTGTAGGAGCTCGTCGTTGGTGACGGTGAATAACATAACCTGCTCTACTCTAAAACTTTATTACCCCCGTCTATAGTGTTAGAAGAAGTACTCAGACCTTTTACTTCAGTAAAAGTGGCGACAACGTTACCACAGTGTAGACATATTCTGTTTCAAGTTAAAGTCCTGCCTTTAAAAATGTACGTTACATCAAAATGAGCTGACGTTTATAGTACCAAAACTCGTAGTTGTAGGCTACTTATTTTATGAACATATGTTACTGAACTATCATTATTAGTTCATTAGTTAGTTAGTTAGTTATATGCTCCTTAGTAGCTTTTTCCCTCCAGAGATCAATTAGTAAGTTTAATCTGATCTTAACCTATAATGATACATCATTTCTGTACATGTTGCTTTTTATTTCTATCAATAGGCCTAATTTTACTCTGTACAAAAAACAAACAAAAAAACCCTGATGACGTAACCTAGTACATATAGTGTCAGGGGAGTGGAGTGTAAATAAAATGGAGATACTCTAGTATACAGTCCCTGGGTAACTCTGTTCCATTGCAGAACTGTTTTTGTAGAGTTTCAGTGAAAAGCAATGAGTCTGTGTAGGTCTGATGCCCTAAAGGCAAGGAAGAAATACACAAGATCTTTGTCAGAAAATAGGTCAGTGTCACTGGTGCTTTTGATAAATGAATTTACAGAGACATTGAAAAGCACTGCAGTAATTTATTTCCTTTAAGGGCAAAGGGCATCTATTCCCTCTGGCAGAGCAAATAACTTACCTGAAAAAACTGTATTGAGTCTGTGATGGAAAAAAAGGAGGAATGGAGTGAAACACATAAAAAAGTCAAGGATTAATCATTGTTGTGGCCATGGAAACTATAACCAGGCACTGCTGGATAAAGAGAAATTAACAGCATTGCATGGCAGTGTTCAAGGGTAATCTTTTTTTCTCTTCGTGTGTGTGTGTGTGTGTGTGTGTGTGTGTGTGTGCATGTGCAAGAGCACTGATGTACTTTGTGCACAATAAAGTAGAGCCTCTTTTCGCTTTTTAAAATTTTAGAATTAGGGGCCCACTAATAAGCAGCATGAATCATAATCTGTTTGTTTCATGATTACAGAAAGACTTTGAAGTATTGTAGCATCCAGTTTGACATAACAGCATTACTCATACACACATAAACTGTTGCCATTTTATTGTCTGTTTCTCTCCTCTCCTCTCCTCCAGATAACAAGAAGCTAACAAAATCAGAGGAGTTGTACTACTTGGATGTTGACCAGTCCAAGAGCTCTTCTCTTAAAGGCGGGAATATTCAGCCTCTGACCCTTCACCCACGGGACCTCGATAAAGTAAACCCACTTCACCCATACAGTATTTACCCTTAGTTGGAAAATTAGTTTGTTGCCCAATTAAAATACAAATCATGTTACTTTTGTTTTGAAGCAGTTGTGTAACCGAGTCTTTGAATATGATTGCAGATTCATACACCAAAACCACCCAAGGGACGTCAAAAACCAGTGCCCATGGCTTGTGTGTGTAAGACAAAGCCTGCTGAGGAAGTTAGAGATGCTGTGCGATGGCCGTTGGCTCAACCAGTGGATCTAGATCCTGACTCTGAACCTCTGGACTACACAGGTTAGTTGTAATCCTTTGCCCTCATGAACAATACTGCACAATAGCCAATTTCATATTTCCTGTAGCTAAAAGGAGACATTCCCCAAGTCATAATATGCATCCATAAGGATTTTTTTCTGTCCCTATTCTTTTTCAGAAATGGAAGGGCTGAGGTTTGATGACCAAGGGATGGTTCTTCCGCACAGCATCCTGGGTAGTTTAGAGGATTTCAGAGGTTATCTGGAGGCCAAAGGGGAGACAGAGGTACATGAAAAAACTATGTGGGAAAAGATTATTTTTACAGACAATATTTAAAGGAGCATTGTGTAGTATTTAGTGGCATTTGGCGGTCAAGATTGCAGATTGAAACCAGCTGAGACTTCTCCCATGTGCCAAGTATGATCTTCCAGTTTGGATTCTCTCAGTGTTTATTGTTTAACAGGTTTCTATCATGACCCAAATTATACACAGAGGTCTCCTCCTTTTCAAAGCACATGGACCAGGTGATTAAAACCAATAAAGTCATTGAATAAAGCAGTTTCACTTTTCAAATCAGTGTTTCTTTGATGCTGCTTGGCTCTTCCCAGACAGGCTGCTAGCCCAGCACCTGCTAATTTATGCTCACCCTGTCTCTGTGATATCTTAGTGTGTGCTCCCTTTTGTTCTCTAATAACTTAAAATCCAGATGTTTAGGAGGTTTTTATCGGGATCCGAAGAGGTGCCTTCCTCTCCAAAAGAAATGGACTTGCTGATTTTGACCGTAAAAGCATGAAATAAAGCACTTTCAATTTAATGTTGTTTGGCTCATCACAGAGGGATTGCTAACAACAGTGGCCAATGCCAAAATGTGAATGACCCTCTCTAGAACCAGTGTTTGGTTTGTCCATTCTGGGCTACTGTTGAAACATGGCAGTACAACATGGTGGCTTACGTGGACAAGGACCCACTCCCTATGTAGATATAAATGGCTCAATCTAAGGTAACATAAACACAACAAGTCTTATTTTCATGTGATTATAAACTAAAGAAAACATACTTATTATATCATATTCCACTTCTGTCAATATAGCCTCCTAAATCCTACACACTGGATCTTAAATACCTGTCAACCAAGAGCCCTTCACATTCTGTAAACTGACAAACACAAGAGAAATATGTTGACTGTGTTGTGTTTCTCTTTTCTGTTTCCTTCTGTCCTCCCTCCGTCATTCAGTTGGTGAAGCGAATACCAAAGTCCCAGAGATATAATCCATCTGAGGCCCCACGGAGGCATCACACCGAGGCTGTGCAGAATGAGCGTGGGATCTCCTCAGGCCACAGAAACATCCAAAGTAATGCTCTGCAGCATTGGCATACACAGATGACGCAGCGCAGGCGGCAGCAGGACTTCTTATCTGGTGAGCTGATTGGACAGCAACCAGCACCAGAGAGACAGAAAATTTGCGTCATCATCATCACAGCCTGAACTTGTATACAACTGCAGGGATGTGGGAGAAGCCACAATAATCTGACTTACCTGCATTTTTATTAGCATTAACAATAAACCAGTACGAAAACAGGCATTATATAATTAAAGAAAACATACTTAAACCCCATGCATACTCTCAAATGAGCTTTCTCATTTTAAGTAAATTAAAGAGATGTTTTCTTATTTAAAAACAACTGTTTGATTTCCCAAGTACGCATTAACGTCTTGTCTCTCACTAGTTATCTCTATTCATCTGCTGCTCTTTTCAACTCCTTCAAGACCATCTCGACAGGCCAGTCGAAAACTTACTGATGAACCAAGCTAACCACTTCAGAGAAACTCAGGAGCAGAGGGAGTTTCTAAGCCAGGTCATGCCACTCATCCACCCTGGATATGTATGACACACATTTGCTTTCTCTGGTCTATTGTGTCTTAAGTTGCCAGTCAGAATCATATCTTATGTTTGTTATATCGCTACAATAATATTGTTCTCTGTAGCCTCTTTATTCATGCATGTCTCTACTCCTATGTCTTAGGGTTACCGTGTGGGCAGTGAGTTTTGGAGTCTCCCACAGCGTTATGGAGATGAAATGAGTGGCATCACAGCCACTCTGACTCAAACACAGCAGGGCAGATGGGAGCCTGTCACACATATAGGACAACCGAGCAGCATACGCCAGGAATCAGGTACACACAGACACTTACACTGTGTCCCAATTTTTCCCCCCAGCCTTTTTCTTGGTAATGTTCCTTTTGATTGTGCCCTCACCTGAAACCAAGTGGTGTCCCAGAAAAAAAAAAAAGAAATTGCTTTGTCAATTATGAAGTGACAGTCAAGCGCTCTCAAATTTTGATAACCACACTTGGCATCAAATCTTTAGATAACATCATGAAAAACAATTGAACACAACAAAAGATCAGGAGGAGCTGCGACTATAAACTGATGGTGACTGTATTCTCTCTGTGGGAAATTTTTCATCCTTTAGGAATATTTGTTGCTGAGACTCTGCGTCAAGCCTCTCGGACTTGGGAACAGTCCTTATACCTTCAGCACCAGCGCCAGGAGCTTGGAGAAGTTCTACAGGACATGGACATCAAAAAGCCGGTAACACAAGCATACGAATTATAACACTGAATGCTGCTTTGGCTCAGTAGAACTTTAAATGAATACAGTTGGTCCTATTGTACCTTTGCAATGGGCCTCTGCTCTGTCTGATTTGTTGTTTACAACTCATAAAACAGTGAAACGGTCAAAGGTTTTTAACTAGAGCAAAGCCAATAAATAGGCAGATACATCAGTATCAGTGTATATGCCGGCCGTTAAGTGACAAGAACAACAGAATTGCCACAGTTAATGTATGTTTGAGGTTTATATTTAGTTTTTCAACCGTAAAATGTCCCACATAGATTTTTATCAAGTCAAACTGCTCTATTTAGGATCTTAATTAAACTTATAAACATGTCAGAGTTGGATTTCTTTGGTACTCTTGGGTTGATTGTCTGATGCAACATCATAGAATCTGTAATGTTTGATGCCTCCAGTGTAACTCCTTGAGTAATGGTCTAATCCATTAAAACAGAGAAATCCAAGTGGACACATGGAGTCCCTCGTGGACACTTCCTCGGTCCTCTGATCTTTGTAATAAAATATATACGGAGGAGAGACAGAGGTCAGGATGGGGTTGAGGGGGGACACATGGGGGACAGGTGGCAACACATGGAGGACGGGTGGGGGACACTTAGTTTTCATTTAGGCTGACAGACTAGAATATTAGTAGGTTTGCATGCTAACTGTTCCGATTTCTGACGCAGATCCAAAGTTCCACGCTGGCACCACTAAAATATGCCCACAAGTCCCACTAAACCTAAAAGATGTGTGTACCATGTTGATTTTTGATGCAGTTGCCTCCATGGACTGTTTGTCACCACCACTGCTGCAGCTCCAACTGCTGACTATGTTGTTGAGTCAGCCAAATCAGTGGTCCAAACTACAATGACAAACCTTACACATTATTTACTTTACACTTTATTTTTGTGCTCCCAAACAATGTATAAGAACCTAATTTCACATACACAGCGCAGATCCAGATTGCGCATTTTTCGTCTTCATTATTTGGCCACTTGCTGTCCAACCACACAGCCTACTGAAGCTGCTCACACCCACAGGACACTCTGTCTTCAGCTGCTGGAGCTGCAAGCTGCTCATGACCAGTCTGTATCTTCACAAACAGCCTGTGATCATCAAGCCTGGGGCACTCTGTTCTGGGTTTTCTGTACAAGGAACAAACAACGGGACATAAGCGAGGCAGTCAAGCACATGCACATGCACGACCACAAAAATGGACATATGCATGCAGGCGCATGGGCATGAACACACACATGTACATTTTACATTTTATTAACTGTAAAATAGACATTCATTACACACATGCATAATGATATTAATGAGGCACCGGAGCTCTTCCATAAACAGTCCTGTCTGTTCACAGGAAGTACAGTTATGAAATCTAGAGCGTGTCCAGTCATAGAGTAGCACTGTTGAGATCAATGGGGTAACAGAGAACAAGAAAATTGACCAAACTTGCCTTACTGCTCTCTCTGCATGACAATGAATTCATCAGCAGGGGCAGCAGGTTCTGGGGTAAACACTTTGCACAGCCAGTTCCCATTCAATCTCATTAACATTGTAAGTTACATGTGCTGATTATGGGAAATTGTATTCAAATTTTTATTTTTTTTTCTGGCTGCGCCTAGTATCCTCCTCCCCCTTTTTCTCTCTTCCACACACACCGGACACACCGGACACACACACACATTGTGCCCATGACATAAGAGAAAATGGTAGCAGTGCATTCTGTTGTGCTGGTGGCTGTTGTGATGCTGAGGTGATTTGCGGGTCTGAAGTACCTCCTGACAAACACACAGACAGTATCAGATCATCCTGTCAGCAGCTGACATGGCTTCGTGACATATGTGTAAAGGGAGAGAGAGATGATTGGGACAGGGAGGGATTATTAGATGAGAAAAGAAGAGAGAGGAAGATAAGTAGGAGGGGGTGGGGGGGTGGGGTGGGGAAGAGAAGGTGGTGGAGGAAAATCAAGCCTCCAGTGTTACTTAAAAATGTGGAAAAAGTTTGAAGTTCGGGCGAGGAGGGAGATCGGCAGGTTGCATTTGTATTTGTTTTTTTCACCTTGCTAGTTACATAATATAGTGGAAGAGCTCAGTTCATGGCAACATACAGACGTGTAGTATTGCGTAATATCGTTTGGAGAGGGGAGATAAAGGAATTACAGTAATGTTAATGGTTCACTGCTGCAATTAAGTTGGAAGAGGTTGAAGGACAGAGTATGTGCACATTGATAAGCTATAATTTAGCCACTGATAACTGCACAGTGTGTTCCAGAGCATCTCTCCCTGTCACATTGTTTCATCCAGCCCAGTCGCCAGAATAAAATGTTGGCATGTACATATCTGCATGCAACCGGTGTGTTTTATTTCTACATTTCATACCTATATCAACATTTCTAATGTGACGCAGATTACATGTATATGAGCTGAGTTTCTCATCAGGAGGAGGAGGGGATAGTGGGCAGATGGCGTGAAACCTAGGCAAGACGTCTGCCAAGCAGCACACCACTCCTCAAGACCAGTGACATTTCCAGCTGTGTGTTTGTGGCAACCACACCGGGTATTTTAAGCCAAAACATGATCTTTTCCTAACCATAACCAAGTGGTTTTTGTGCATAAACCTAAACACATTAACAACATCACTGTCACAACATAAAACGGAAAATCGAAATGTAAAGTTTCAACATATGCACTACATATGAACCCTACAAATGTAACACTTCTTTGTGCAGAAATGTACAATGCCAACATTTATTTCTGCGATTGGGTTGTTTCATCAGACACCTCATTTTGTCCTCTCTGGCTGCACTTTCTGGATGTGAGTGACAAGGACATGCGTATCCTGCAGAGAACTTTTGGTATTGCTTTTCACTAACAAGAACCAGAATGTTAAATGGACATACAGAGCGTGCCACTTCCTTCAGAACCAACATTCTGTGTCACTTTCAGGACATCAATGGACTGGAGGTTATTGGCTCTGGAAAGCCTTTCACTTCTGTCACAGTGTGTCCCAGTCCCTTACTGGACAAGGAGGAAGAGGAGGCAGAGCACAAGATGATGAAGAAGGAGAACCTGTAAGCTGTGCCTAACAGATTTGATAGAAATTTGTCATAGTTCCCAGCTAAAGTCCAGCTTTTTCACGGCTGATTATGTCAACATCAGGCCAACAATGCTGCCCTTTATTAAAAGGCACAAAATGCAATTAGTGTATCCACATGCCATTAATTTAATGGTGCATTAATTAAGCTGAGAATGTGTCCCTGTTGTATTCATCAGGTATTTGGTAAATTGCTGCTAAATATGTTATTTAAAGTGTAATGGACGTAAGGAAAACAACTCATAAACCCTACTATGTAAACAGTATAGATATTTCTAATTCAGAAAGAAAACATATGGATATATTTCCATTGCCCACAATGTTGAAGAGTTAAAGTTAAATGTCCCAACACGTACAAAAACACCTGTGTCATAAAAACTGTCTCTATTTGCCGCTGGTCTTCTCAGTTTGCCGCCCATTTGAGGCCAGCTTCCTGATGCTATGGTTAGAAATTTCAAGTTGGACAAGAAACACTTAAATGCATCATGACATTTAAATGGACAGACTGTCTCCTGTAGGGAGGTGGAGAGGGCTCAGTCTGGTTTCCAGCTCGTGGGCTGTGTTCTTTGAAGCATCCGACCCCGGAAGCAGGACACAGCTTATGATTCATTCATTAATTCTCTAACTCAAGCATGAATAAATAATCTTTATTGTCATTATACTCTGGTACAACAAACATTTGCAAGGCTTCTCTCAGCAATGTTAAAATAAAACAATGAAATAAAAGGAAGTTAAAAAACAGTAATAGCAGTATAAATAGACTTACGTAAGTATAACTTTTAAAAAATATAAAGCTCTGGTTAAATTTACATTAACTTTCTACATTTACAAATTTACAAAGGTGAATGTTATAATTTCTTTATAAATAGAAGTTAAATCTTTCTGAGTCTTTGTCAGCAATCTCTGGAGTGATGGACCCATGAACTGAGAGGTACTGCTGTTTCATTGTCTTCCACAGTGATCCACAGACACAGTATGATGATGTTCGGTTGGATGCTCTGCACATTCCTGCCTTAAGGTTCTGTAGTCAGCTTGCTAGCTGGACTGGAAACTCTACAACTAACCAGGTAGTTAACACAGCAGGTTGGTCAGTGTGTATGAATTTCAAGCTGTGACTTGGGTAAATTCTCACAACAAGGCTTACAGTAGGGATACTATTTTATTTTTATTTTCCGTGTTCCGAAGTTAATGCAAACTCAACACGTGCTCCATGTGCACCTGTTGTCTTGGTAAATGCATTATAATGTCCATTACTGTGGGAATAATTCCACAAGTACTTTGCCTGTTCTCCCAAACCTTCCACCATGAATGAAACCCTCTCACAAGACTTTTTGCACTGAAAGTCCCTGCAGCCGTCCCATTTTAAATAGGCTTGTACGTGCAAGAAAAACACCACATCTGGAATTATATATGCATGTATGACAACATTATTTCTATAGAAAATAGACAGCTGCAGTGTGTTGACTGGACATTATACTGTATTTACAGTGTGAGCTGATCTACATGTTTTCTACTTGGTCTTTATTAGCGACCAGCTGTTATTTGTTTATGTTGGCTGTTATGTGATACTGGGACATTATCTGAATACACCATCTCTCTCTCCAAAACAGGGAGAAGTAGGAATCAGTGCCACAATATTCTTTGAGGCCCTGACTGGAGACAGAGCATCATCCCACCTGGAGCTGCACAATGAGGGCAGCACAGCCATCTTCTACAGCTGGCAGCAGCTTCCAGTGCCACACAGCTTTCCTAAATTACGATCACAAACAAAGAACCTGCACTTCTACTTCAACTCCTCCTCTGGTACACACAAACATAATGAGACACCTGCTGCCTAACATTAACCCGACGTCATATGCTGTTTGTCCTTGTGACAGCCCTTTATATTGTGGTTTTCAACCAGTAGTCAACGCACCTGTCTGCTCTCCCCTCCCAATCCAGATGTCATCCATCCAGGTGATACCCAGCGGGTGGAGTTTATATTTAAGTCTGAGGAGCCAGGCATAAAGACTGAACTATGGCAGCTCAACACCCACCCTTTGCTGCTGCAAGGAGCCTCCATGCAGGTCACATTGAGGGGAGTGGCTCTGTACCAGGACAAAAGTGCAGACCAGAAGCTTTTCATAGAGGTGAAGTACAATTACACTGTGTCTGAAAGTGAGACAGAAAAATGCGTCGACTGATGGAAATAAGGTTTTCATGATGAGAAACCCATATGTTTTGTTTGTTTGTGTTTCTGTTGTGTGTGCACAAGCAGACAAAGCTGGAAAAGACAGTGAAGGTAAAAATGTGTCGGTCCATTGTGTATGAGATGCTGCAGGGAGTCCGCACCCCAGAGAGACCCAGTTCTCCTGCAGAGCTTTATGTCACTGAGGAGCAGGAGTTTTTAAGCAAAAACCCCAAGGTAAATCCTCCAAGTGGAAGCAATGTCCATAAAGCAATTCACATTTTTCTTACAGGTCAGTGGAGTTTATTTTTGGGGGAATAAACCCTCCGCGGGACTTAAGTGTTGCCTTCTGAGAATGACCCCAAAAAACATGTCAGTTTTTTTTTCATGTATAGTTTGAGACACATTGCTCATCACACATCAGGGTGACCTTATTTCATCTGTCACTGATGTATCAAACCTTTTTCTTTGCACAGAGTCTTTTTGTTCAGCATAAGTCTAGTCACACCACCTCATTCAGTGTGAGATAAACTGTTAATGGGCCCATTCATCGTGTTGTTTTTTCTGACATTTCACGGACTGGAAGCAAAGGTGTGATCAACCCATTATGGCTGCCCCTTTCCAACATGTTAGTCCCCATTCATTTTGTACTTCACTGTTATAATAATGTCACCTTAACTCATAGTAGCTCATTAACTAATAATAGATCTGAACTGCTAATATCTTAAACCAGTCACTCTTACCTCTACACTGTAAAAAAAGAGGTTATGTTGCCATGGCAGTGTAATAGGAACCTGGTTTTAACTGGGTTAATTTTAAGGCCGATTAGATTGGTTTAGTGAATGTAGAGCATGACGGTCTTAAAGGTCTTGTTTGCTATAATAAACAATATCAACAGACATGGGAGGAAATTATTGAAAAAAGCATTGCAAAGAGTAAGTGAAATATCATCTCTAATTGTAGGCCATCTAATTGGGATAAATGGAGAACATTTCTTGCCAAATCATATCTGTCATTACCAAATATTAGGATGATTAACTTTTCACGTGATCACATTTTATCACCACAAAGGGTGGCACGCATTTCCCTCATTCTCCGTTGAGCAGTAAATAACTATGATGACATTCATCATAGTTATTAGAGGAGGATTACTATCAGTGATGATTATTATCCTGTGGCGTGACAGTAATTTTGCCTCATTGGAGTCCTGTGGTCACATGTTTATACCTCTCACTTAAATTACTGTTCCATACATCATTGTAGTTGCAGTACCTTCATCAGCCAGTGGAGGACCTAAAGAGACTGTGGCAAGAGGTTCATTCGGGACATACCTGGGACCTCTCTGTCGATACACTCCAACAGGTAGAGACATTATGAGACATTATGGTGCAGAGTAACTTTTGGTTAGTACTAAGAAAATAGATGTAGCAGTGAATTTAGCATGTTCATCTAGGGTTATAATCTCAAGGGACTTTTTGAATGCACTGTGCCCTTTTGTAAAATTCCATACCATGATGTTACATCAAAAACATAACATATTTGTCCATTCAATTGTTCCCTTTCTAAAGGTTGTGCTGTCTCTGCCCAAGCAAGAGTCAGCTCAGGAAAATAGCCTGGCCCAACTCAACTCTCTGCTTCTGCAGCTTTCTGAACCCTCTCAACTGAAACACCGCCAGCTAACAGCAACAGCTATAGGGTGAGGCATAAACACGCATGAGTCATGCACCATCTCTATCACAGCATCTTGACTCAGTCAGACAAACACCCACACTCAGTGTAGTAAGCCTGTAGGTTATGGTGGTGCATGGTGCCCCCTGCAGGCAGCAGCTGTGGAGGAAACTGCTGGACACGATGGCTGGTGAGGCCATGTGGCTCAGAAACCTGCTGGGCCTTCCAGAGAAAGACACATGGATCAATAAAAAGGAGGAATTCCTGGTCTCTGATCCCGGTGAGACTCACAGACTTTCACTCAGACATAGATTGGTGAGGATTCACACTGCTGCTGACTATTGTGTTATAATATCACAGATATGGCTGACAGCATAGATGAGAGGAGTGAGACAAAGCAAGGAGCAGCTGCTGAAGAGCAGAGCAGTGGGTCAAGGTCCAGATTTAAAGATGACAACAAAGGGGAGTCCAAGTCAGCAACAACTGAAAAATCAGTGGAGGTGAGGGGACAAAAGGTATATGTGTTTATTTTGCCTTTGTCAATACAGAAATATGCGCCTATAAAATGTCTTGCCACTGAGGGGCAGCAGATTCAAAAGTGTTTTAATTATGAGCATGAATGAAGTATCAAGACACTTCACTTCAGCTGACTGTCAGCTGAGCCAACCATGAGTCACCTTCACTACTTCAGACAAGCTGTCAGGTTATCATTCATTTATCTGCCATTCAATGAGACAACTCTTGTTTTCTTGTTAATGCTGATTTCATCCACACAACCCAGCCACCTACAGCCTGGTTCTCAGTAATGCACAAACCTACAGTATTATTCTGTCGGCTAGTTTTCTGAAACAGTGTGTCACGTTGTGTGTGTGTGCTGGTTTCTCCATAACACTTTGGGGTTGGTTTAAAGTATAGGAGGAGCACCTGTGCCACCCAATACACCTGTGTAACCACTGGTGTATATATTATAGTGTTGGTGACTAATTCAACCCTCTGTGTATGTATGTGTGTGTGAGTGTGTGAACAGTTAGGGATAAAGCAGATTTTTGGATCAGTGGTTAAGGTTAGGGTTAGGTCAGTGTTAGGCAAGTAGTGGTCATGATTAGGGTTAAAGCTACAGTTAGTAACTTCTATTAAAACGTTATGTCGTATTTGCTGAAACTTTCCCTGTGTTCCGAAAAAAGCACATGAGACGGATAATCTGTGAAAAAAATTAAGTCGGTCCTCCTCTTCCTACTGCTTGTAATGGCATTTGCTAGAATCTCACATGGTGCATCAAAAACAACCAATCAGAGCTGAGGAATCTTTAACGCAGCTGTCAATCATGTCAATCGCTGCTCATTAACTGTGGTCAGACTGCCAAACATGGCAGTGCTGATCAAATACGAATCAAGACTCTGTTTCCACTATGACTATTTTTCACATTAAATATTTTCAGTGACTTATTTTAGTGCACTGTTTAGATGTAAAATGTGAAAGTTTGCTCCAGCAGTGTTTTGTTTCGGCTTGACTGATTCCAACATGGAATTTTTTTACATTTAAACAGTACACTTAAACATGTTTCTGAAACATTTAAAGTGAGACATAGGCAATGCAGTTACAGGATATTGACTCATATTTGATCAGCGCTGCCACATTTGGCAGTTTGACCGCAGTTCATAAGCAGTAATTGACATGATTAACAGCTACGTTAGAGACTCACCGGCTCTGATTAGTTGTTTTTGTTCACTTGTGCTAATGCCATTAGAAATGCTACAAGGCAAGAGAGTAGGCAGAGGAATATGTTTTTATCACAGATTATCCATCTCAGTTAGTGCTGTGTGAATATAATGACAGTTTCAGCAAGTATAACAAAAGTTATTTTCTTTAAAAAGTTACCAGCTACAGCTTTAAGGTAAGTCTTAAGCAAATTAGTTTAAGTCTGTTTTATTCCCCCAAATGTGAGCTAAGTAACCACATGTGTGCATGGCTTGCTAACTATCTGATATGTAGTGGTTAACCAGCCATTCCACATTCAGTCCTCCCACTAAATGTAGAAAGCTAATGCTCACCATCCAGTGGTTTGTCCCCCCAGAAAAGTCATTATTGTACAGTAGCTAAGCAATAATATGGTGGTGGCTATTCATGTTTTTGCAGTGTGACTGGTCGGGTGAGATAACGAGCAAAAACCTTCATTTAGTTCCCATTCATTTTTTTGCAGATAGTTATTTTCCTGCACCCGTCCTCATTATACTCAGCCACTTTGCGTCGTCCTATTCACAAATCTGAATTTCAGCAACTTTCCGGCACTGGGATTGAGAGCCTTAATGAGGACGCTGTCTGTGTTGTTTAAACATAGACTAGATGCTGCGTCCTGGTGGCGCTTTTAGTCATCACAGAAACAGCGTTCTGGGTGTGAGTCTGCCCCAGGACCTGTTACATCGCTCTCCTGATGGTTTGGTGTCCATTGTCAGCCATCAGAAGCACACAAAAAAAGATGTAATATAAAATATAGAAATAGACCAAAGACTGAGTCTTGTCTGTATGTCTGTGTGTTTTGCTGAGTGATTTCCTCTGTATGATGGTTGAGTCATAGGTAAGGTACAGCCTATTACTCACAGGGTACCATGGTAACAGGACTCTGTGTGAAAATGTGCACCTGCTCTCCAACTGGGTGGCCAGGGTGTGAATTAATAGCACCCGGACCAGTCCAAGCCATCTGTGGCGCATGCAACTATACGTTAACTCAACCAGTACTTGACATCCAACATGTTAAACACCGTGATATACAGGGGAGGTAGTTTTTCATGACGTAAGCTGCATACAGCCACTTACCAGCCAACTCGACATGCGTGCATGCTTCATCAATAATCAGTATGTCTGTCTTCTATCTGTCTGTCCCTTGTACAGGTAAGCAAAAAGAAAGGGAAGAGAAGGGAGGAAGTGGGGAAACGCACTAGGGAAAAGCAAGGGAAGGACTCGGCCTCTCTGATTGATATCCCTTCAGACAGCATCAGTCAACAACCTCCTGATGGCCAAGGTGTAGGGCCGGAGGTGATGGACATTTATACAAGACTCCTGCAAGTAAAGGCAAGTCTTTTAATTATCTGACAGTTTGTATTTTAAACAGCCACTCACACCAAGTTCAGTGTACTCGTCATGAGGATCACAACTCAACCTGTGACAGCTGTATAATCTGCTCTGAATCTGGGGGAGTTTTTTTTTTTTTTTTTTTTTTTTCAAATTTCAGGTCATACAAACAATGTGTAGGCTACAGCACATGCAGACAATTTGGCCTGGGGGAGTTTTCTCAAGTTAGAGAAAATAACCCTGATGATGTCAGATATCATCCTCAGGTTAACAGATATCATGCATTACAAACTAGAGGTGTGGGGTTTGGAAGAAGTGGACAGTTAGGAGGGGAATATCTAACAAAAGACACTATCCGATTGCATTATGGGAAATGTAGGATACTGTGTTCCTTCCTGTGGAGCCTGCTCCATACTCGGGATTACTGTAAAAGTCAAAGCGTCTGGACCTCTGCTAATTTTGACTCCTCTTTTTTTCTTTCTCATGAGCCCCCCAACTTTGTGAATGTGTTATACAAAACAACTTAAAGGTTGTTTAAAAGTCGTATGTACATCCTATGAATAATTCTCCCCCTTCACAGATCATATCACTCCCGTTCTCCAGCAGCTTCACTGGCTTCCTGTTAGATACCACATCAATTTCAAGATTCTGCTTCTCACCTTTAAGGCCCTTCATTATCAAGCCCCTTCCTACCTGTCTGAACTCCTCCATATCTACACACCCTCCTGTACTCTAACATCCTCCTCTGCAGTCCAGCTCACATCACCATCTCCCCACTTGACCACCATGGGCTCTAGAGGCTTCAGCCGCTCTGCCCCTCCGCCTCTAGAACTCTTCACCGCGACATACGCAATATTTACTCCCTTTCCACCTTCAAACCCGTCTGAAAACACACCTTTTCAAGCTGCCATATTCGGTCTGAATGGAGACACACACATCGTGCTCTGATGATGATTTTTTACCTAATATTTATAATTATGATTATTGTCGAGTCATTTTATTAACTTTTACTGTATATTACTTAATTGTTTGACCTTATGATCCATGGACACATTGCTGCTTGTTTGTTTTAACTGTGTCTTGTAAGGTGTCCTTGAGTGCTCCAAGAGGCTCCTATAAATAAAATGAGTTATTATTATTGTTGTTATTCATCTCTATCTATCTGGCAGGTTTATGCTCTGATGGAAGACCTGGTAGATAACCTGTGTGACCTGATGGATGACCTTAATGAGGGAAACACAGAAGCACTACACACACAATACTAACACGTGAGAGCAGGCTGAGGAGCCTACACATGAATGTTTTATTCCTAATTCTGTCGTTTTTATACCTTTTATTTTGTTGTGACATCAATAAAGTTTTTGTTCCTCCGTGGACTTACATTCATCCCGTCTCATTCACACTGTCACAAACACACACAGACATACACACACACATCAGCGGATCATAATAGGTTAACAGTACAGCTGACTCTGCAAACGACGCGCCCCCGTCCATGCCTTTGCTTTTACGCTCGCCGTTGTGATCGTGTGTGCTATGCGTGCGTGGCCTGCCGGTGCCGTATGCGTGTGTGGATGGTGCTGCCTGGGTGAGGGAGAGGGAGTGAGTGAGCCGTGTGCTGTGGCTTATCCTTGTCCTATGCGGATTTCACCACTGACTGCCCGCCCGAGCGGCTCGCATCATCCAGGGTAGGCCGGAATCTCAACGGTGACTTTCCCATTCAAGGAAACACTCACTGTTCGGCTGCTCTCTCACGTTTGCCGGATACAGGAGCGGAGGGGATAATTGTGGTTGCCCTGCTTAGCAGATCCCAGGGGAGGGGATATTATCGGGACTTGGAGAGGAGACAGCGAGGAGGCGAGGATGCTCTGTGGACACGGCGAGAGATGAGCAATGGGCAAGGTAAGCGGCGCGCTGAAATGACCGGGGGGGTCAGGTCCTTGATTTTTTTGTGCCAATAATTCTCACAATCAGTGGGTATATATATTGCGAGATGCAGTCTGTAGTATGTTGAGCTTTGCTGCGTTCATACATGTAACAAACAGCTCCAGTGGCAGCTGGCCTTGCACAGGAATCTGTGCTACACATGGCAGCCCGCACAGGGAATCCACCGCAAGAGTGTGTATGTGTGTGAGTGTGTGGGGGTGGCGGTGGGGAGAGGGGGAGGCTGGGTAATGCATTATGCAGACCCACAATGTGCGCCCTCCTCCTCCTCTCCATCGCCACCTGAATTGCCGTTACACCTGCCGTCACAGCACGCATGCGCATCCTTAAATGTTGACGACGGGGTGACGTAGGTTTTATGTTGGCGCATCAGAGCCGGGCCATGTCGGCTCATAAGTCGGTGTGATCAAGGTGTAATATTTAAAATGAAAAAGTAGAATTTGCATTGTGCTATTCAGAGGCGTAGATTTCGGGGGGTGCAGGGGACAGGTCCCCCTTAATATTTACCCTCACCCACCCAAATAAAAACATGAAAGTGACACAGGACTTTAATTTTAACAAAATTAAAGACATAATTTAATGCAGAAAAGACACAAATTGGTGCACAAAAAATCACCAAAATGCAGATAATTAAGTGTTTGATGCTCAAATTGTTTTGGGTGGAGGAACCCCAAACCCCCATTTCACAAGATCCCCCCAGTGTTGAATCAAAACGTGTGCCCTTGGTCCTCTTCAAATGATAGCACCCACAGATGACTGTGTCCCTGGAGCTGAGCATCACGACTTGAGTTGATGATTTCACCAGCTGACTCTTGTCTGAGTTGCTCCATGTTGATATAGTGACTGTGGCTCAGAGTGAATTAATGAGTCATTTGAACGTAGAGCTCATAGTTGTTGTCATTGTAGTCAAGTTGTTGCGTTACCCTCAGCTCCACAGTTTGTCCCTGGATGATTTCATAACCACTGTCTGTCTCTGTGATGCGTGAGACTCGATCAAATACAAACGCTAAAACGGAGCTGCACAATATTTAAGAAAAGTCTTATTAACGATACTTCAAGATGGATTTTACTCATGTAACTCTGGTTAAAGAACACAGGCTGGTGTTTGTGGAACTGGGCACATTCATTGTTGCACTCTGACAATTTGTCATAATATCTGAACTTTTTCCTTAGTAGCCTTTCGACACCTCAGTAATCACGTTAAAATACATTTTAAAATAAAATTTTAAAATACATTTCAGAGGGGGGCGGCACGGTGGTGTGGTGGTTAGCACTGTTGCCTCACAGCAAGAGGGTTGCCGGTTCGATCCCGGGTGTGGGAGCCCTTCTGTGCGGAGTTTGCATGTTCTCCCCATGTCAGCGTGGGTTCTCCCCGGGCACTCCGGCTTAGTCCAAAGACATGCAGGTTAATTGGTGACTCTAAATTGTCCGTAGGTGTGAATGTGAGCATGAATGGTTGTTTGTCTCTATGTGTCAGCCCTGCGATAGTCTGGCGACCTGTCCAGGATGTACCCTGCCTCTCGCCCGATGCCAGCTCGGATAGGCTCCAGCCCCCCCGCGACCCTCAAGAGGATGAAGCGGTTAGAAGATGAATGAATGAATGAATGAATGAATTTCAGAGGGATCGTTGAAGCCTACTTTTACTTAACAGCTGTAGTTACTCCATACTTTTCAGATGTTACATGACAGAAATCATTTCATAAAATATCACGCACTGTTAAAGATTAAACTTCAGTACATGACGTGGTTAAAACCAACTACAACTTTAAAGTGCAGCTTACATCTCAATGCAGTGATAGTAATTATTAATGTTTTAACAGTGACTAAGGCCACTTTTCATTATGAATAAATTTGCTTTTGATATGTTAACTACATTCTGTTGCTATTAATGCTTCCATACTTTTACATAGGTTAATTTTGGAGTGGATAATTGTTGAAGTGTAGGGTTGCTCTTACATATGATTTGACTTCTTCCACCACCACTGTCACATAGCGACTGTCAGCCTACCCATTACTAGCACACTGAATTTGTGAGGGTCAAATAAAAGGATGGAAAGAGCAATAGTTTCAAACAGCAGCAGCCCTTGATAACCTTTGTATGTGCGTCTATGCCCGAACACAAAGCTGAAGATGATTTTGCAGAAAGGTGATACTGGATGAAGTTGCTGAGCTTCACTTTCTTTTTTATGCCCTTCATTCTCTCTCCCTCTCTCTCTGTCGCTCTCTCGCACATGCACACACTCTCAGACTTGTCCTCCGCTCTGAGTTTTCTGTGTCCCTGCTGTGTGCATCTCGGTTCCTCTGTGCTTCTGCTGATGTTTGCCTTTTCAGCAGGATGAGGCATCCTGTGACATGTTTCAGACTGACAGCCTTTGCAAACTGCTGTGAAGCAGCAGTGGACTGTGATGTTAAAATTAAATCGATCAAAGAGTGGTGCACAAGAGTCTTTAAAAAGTCAGTAATTGTTAAATATGATCATCATTAGTTGTCACGATTACAGCAGTCTTTTAATAATGTTACATTCAGAGCCAAAGGCATGGTTGGATCACAGAGGGGCCTTACTAGTCACAAGCTCAGGACCTTATAAGTCAGAGCTCTTGAACTGATTGACTGTCAGAGGGCTCAGTCAAATGTAGGGGTGTCCTAATCCCAGCTTTTTTATCTGATCCCAGTTCCTTTACACAGAGCATCTACTCATACTTACTCTTATCCACTGTATTTTTTTTCTTATTTATTTATTTATTTATTTTCCATCATAATACAACCACACAGACAAACATAGAATATAACAAACAACTGATAAAATGACTTTGAATGTGTGACTTTGGAGATGATTTTTTTCTCCATCCCCAGCATGAAAATGTCAGGTGTAGCAGCACTTTCAAATTGTGGTTAGGCTGCAAAATGCTGCTGGGAAAAGACATCAGAAAATGCTGCCACAAATACTGTGAGCACAGGGAAGGCAGAGGACCTTTTATGGGCCCTTTTGTCTCATAATCCAAATGTGGCATAAAAAAAAATAAAAACCAAGTGAAAAAGCATCAGATTATCACAGCATTGCATAACTATTACTTCAAAAAGGGATTTAGTCTCCATTTTCCTCGTTCTTGTAGCTAATATTAACAGATCATCAAATAAAAATATACTGTACCCTTTGAAAAATTTCTAAATTTGTTATACTGTGATTCGTACATAATGTAGGAAATGATCAGTAACTAAAGTACGTTAGGTTTACAGACAAACTCTCTGTGGTGGTTTTGTTGATGCAGATGATGCCCTGATGCACCCAGGGGAAAAAATCTCAGAAACGGAACATTACCTTGTCAGTCAACATGTAACTTAGTTTAGTGAGCCGATGACTGATGAGAGGAGGTTAAGATCAGAGGGGTCGATCACCCCAGTGCAGCTTTGGTTTAGTGAGTAAAGGGTGCTCTGTGTCAGTGAAGGCTTAGTCGCAGGCAGTGGGAGAAGTATCACAGGAACCCTTAATGATCGATTCCCTTGTGTCCTCTCTGAAATATGAATTTGGAAGAGAAAAATAGGTTGTGTGTGTGTGTGTGTGTGTGTGTGTGTGTGTGTGTGTGCATGCATGCATGCGTGCACACAGGCTGCTGCGTGTGTGTGTGTGTTGGCCTGAATAAATTAAGCTGCCAAGAAGCTTCATCAGACACCTGAGTGCCAGAGCTTTTGTATGACCTACTTCCTGAGCGGGCTCCAATTGTGAGCCACTCATTCAGTCACTATCATCAGTCATTGTTTGTATTGCTCAGTGTGTTCATACTGATGTAAACAGCAAAGAAATAAATCATGGAGTGCAGCCGTTACAGTGACTTATTGTTCTTAGCCATGCTAGCAATATGGCCCTGTAAATGACAGTGTTGTCTTCAGGATGAAATGTAATAGCTTGGGTCACATGGAGACAAAAGTTCAACTTGTCCGATACTTTGGTTTCTGACCAAATCCCTGTAAAACTAATGGCAGCTTTAGCTGTAGTTTGTTATTGGTGCTAATTAGCATGCTGAGAATAATCACAATTTAAAATTTTCTTAAGTATCAAAGTAATCTGGTAATAGTTAATAGTATTATTGGATTACACTTACTGTTTACATCCCAAAGGCTCCTGAATGGCAAGAATGACATAAAGTAACTTCTAGATTTTATATTGATTTTAGAATTGATATATCTATATTTAGTCATATATTGTCTCCATCTCTTTCTTCCAGGGGCATCCTTTAAGTCCTGACAGAGAAGAGGAGCCGTCATTGCCATAGCTACCTCTCCTCTCCTCTCCTCCTCCGGTCCACGTTCCCCCTTTCACCCCCTCTCTTCACCTGTTGAGTGTTTGTTTGTTTGCTTTCCGCTTGCTATCCCTCTACATCCTCCGATTACCTGTCGCCATGACAACCTCAGCCCTGCGCCGGCAGGTGAAGAATATTGTGCACAACTATTCAGAAGCAGAGATCAAGGTAGTATAAATGAACAGTATTTTTTTTTTTTTTTTATGCCGTAGCTTTCATGTGTTAGACTTTGAGGAAGGGTAAAGTCACTTAAATGAACACTGACGTCATATCAGATCAACACACATGAGAGCAAAACTCTCCACTGCCTCCTCTCTGTCTTAAGTGTGATGCTTGTAATTGCTCACTTTTTGTGATACAGATATTCTGCGTGTGAATAAAACATTAAATTCATGAAATGTAAATGTGTAAATTCTTTGGTGATGTGTAGGTTCGAGAGGCCACCTCGAATGATCCATGGGGCCCGTCCTCGTCTCTCATGTCAGAGATTGCTGACTTGACCTTCAATGTGGTGGCGTTTGCCGAGGTCATGGGCATGGTGTGGAAACGCCTCAACGACAG